TATATATATATAATATATAATATATATAACTAATATATAATAATATATTAGCTTTCTATTACTGGATGTGCAAAAATGAAACATCCTGCCTTACCGTCCTAGTGTCATACTACCTATTGGGATCTTCACACTTCCGTACACTTATAGACAATTACCTAAGTTGACTTGTGTTAGACTGTGCTATTCCTTATCATAGTCTTCGTCCTGATTTTCCATCTTGACTCGTCAGATATGTCCACGCGGTTTCAATCAATCGCTTTTCTTTCTTTGTTTTTGTTGACACAATGTTATATCTCGTACAAAAGAGGCTTGTTTATCCTACAATATGTTGTCATTGCTTTGCCCGTATTCGGAATGTTCATCCTTAGTTTTCACTTCAAATTAGAAAAGCTTTTTCTTTTAAAAATGGTCTCTTTAGTTATCTTATCAAATGCCTTATGATCATCAAGGAGACACTGCATGTAACATGAAAATCGGTTAAAATATAAAAAAAAAATTTAATTCAAAACGGATGCGTACAACACTATTTTTTGGGAAGTACAATCTACAGCAAACAAAAATTTAAGGAAATTTCAAAGAAAGACTCATAAAGCTGCTGCGATGGCCACTAGTGACTAGAATTACACGCACTGTCGGTGAAAATTTAGTTTAGACTCAGAGATACGCTTTGTTTCCGATGCCAGAAGCTAAATTTGTTTTTGGCTTGTTGCAACTGTTATTTAGATTCACCATTCACATTTGACGGAAAAGCTCCTAACTGGGCTGTATGAACATTTTATACACTATGACGTATTCTCGATGACCCAATACGGTAAAAATCGTCTAGTACGGAACTCCTTCGTTTTTCTATCTCCAAAACTATAGAAGTTGTCCCTATGCTGCACACTTCTATTTTGATCGATGCGCAGTATCGCGCCTCAAATTTAAAATATGAAAAGGATATCAGATTGTCTCTGCCGCTCGCGGTGAAAATTATTCCGAGCCAAGAGAGAGATTCTCAAGGATATAAAGTAAAATCATGAAAGCCAGGATGCACTACAGTACTTTCGCAAGGATAGCCAAGTAAGAAAGGGCGTACTTCCCAAGGGACTAAGTCACACTGGGCGGCACTGCTTTTGGTTGAAGAAGTCCAGGTCGATTGCGCCCAGTGATCTGTACAGAGTCTACATACAATGCTGTGGCATGCAAAGAAATCAACTTGTTAGCAAACACCTTTGGTATTCACAGATTCACCTAACCTAAGACTTTCGGATAAAGTTCTGTAGCTTATCCAAGAGTAATCCGTGCGTTATGGCGTATTAAACGAAATCCGTTCTGACCGTGGCCTAAATATTTCGAGATTCACGTCTGGTAGTGCCGTTAGACACTTCATTAGACAGTTGGCTTCCAGCACGAAACCAAGTGTATTTTTACTTGGATTCCGACCCAGACCAGCAGGCAAACAGGCTACCCACTACACCGTCACCGAGACTTTAATAGTGACTTAGCATCCCCCGATCGTAAGATCGCCGCAGAATCTGAGGAATTCAAATCCCTTTGACATAGCCTACCCTATTTTAAAAATCCGCAAAGCACAGATGTGCTGCTTTTCTGCAATCTCGGTCAGTTCCCGACGAAGGTGGCGTCTCACAGTATATCTGTCTTACAGATGGCTCATGTGATATATAGTTAGTTGATAGGCAGGAGGCTTTTATATTAAAGATTTTTTTTTTTTTCAAGGAACAAACTGATAAAGAGCTTCTTAAAAACATGTTTTGATCAATGAAGCATTTCTCGAACGTGGTGAGCTACTACGCAATGAACATTATCTACACCAGGTGGAAACAAAAATATGGGTTTTTGACACATCAGAGCAGGAAGCCTGCAGGGTACCGGGTACGCGCAAAGAACGAAGAACGCATACTGAGTAGTAGGATATTTGATCGGGCCCTTAACATCAGGGATTGTTGAAGACGGCTACAAGTAACCAAGCATTAGTGTCGTAGCTAGCTCCAGCAAGGAATTAAACACAATGGCCAAATGTGGCGTCGGTTTGTGCCAAAAACACAATGATTAACTACAAGTACTGCTACAGGGTGAAATGCTTGAAGATGAAAGGTAAAAGGCGCTACACACTGAAGTAGGTTTAGAGAAAATCATTGACATGGCTAAGCGGCATTTAAATGTAAACGCAAAAAACTTTCCGCTCTTACGCCAAAGCATAAGGGCGGCGCAGTGTTTCTTCGAAAGCAGCAACGCTTTTGGAATCAGTCAAAAATAATGCCTTGATGAAACAAGTAGTGCATGTCTATATCGCTGGTGAGAAAATCAGTAAGCAGCGCATATAATGTCTATAATCAAAGTACTCTCAATTATTCTAGAGCGTGTAGGGAAAAACACGAAGTGCACTGCTATAAGCTGTACTGTATGTAGTCTCTTCGGCGGGCTGCTTTTTCGAGCACCATGGGATTGTGCAGTCCGTTTCCAAGAACTATTATTAGAGGAAAGTCATTTTATGCTGTATTATACAGGTGGAGAATGCAACAATGTATTTAGCATTCTGGAAAGCGCTAGCTTACAACTGGAGCAGAGCAAAAAATCGATTGTTGTTCTACACAAAGAAAATGTAAGAAGATATGTTTGCTATTCGATAATAACGGCATCATAAAAGAGCTCCTTCAAATTATTAACCTGTCGGGGAGATCCGTTTGTGCGCACTTCGACTAAATACGAAGCAGTTGCGCTTTTACTCTATTAGGGCGTACACTGTAGCTATGAGCAAAAGTAGATCTTTCATTTACGACCTTCACGGTATACCTATACAAGGTAGAAAAAAAAAATTCTACGCTAGGCATGACAGTTTACTCGGCTGTAGATACACAGTTTCATTAAGCCATCATTGCTACATTATCTTGTACAAATGGTTATCTGCGCCTTTCCTTTCTCACTGCATTAATTCTTAAGCTATCTCATGAAAATTCAATTTCAAAGATAAGCCTACCTCTCCAAAGCTGTAAGCGTTTGTGTTTGCTTTTCCCCCTATAGCCTTCGGTGTTTTTTTTTTCAAGAACTCAAAAGTGTACAGTATCAAGCAAAAATGGATAGGACGGCGTCTTAATAAATCATAGTTTGGCTTGATTTTAGTATCGGCTTTAATACAAGCGAGGGCAAGTGATTGGCCGGCCAGCGTAATCAGGAAATGGCCACAATGTGGGCGTGAATGGCATTATTTATTTAACTAACTACATTTGTATGTGTATGGACAACACTGATTCGTTTCGTTCAGCATTTTTCGTAACGAACGTTAATAACATAACGTGTTGAGTCTCGCATTTTAGCAACGGCAGTAAGAAAGGGCATGCAATATGAATCTGTTCCTGAAGACAATATTATATCGTATATAGATATAAAAATCATGTAACAAGAAAGACATATTGTCTAAATGCATCAATAACATCGCTTATTTTATTTGTTATTTTGCTAAAATTGAATTTAATATCGGTGTTCAGTAACATTTGTTTTAAGCGTGCTGTGTGCATTAATCCTCACTCTTCGATCGTTATAATTATTGGTAGCACTGTATAGTCATCATCATTTTCGTTTACTATGACGCTAAGACCATTATCATTGTATTGTGATTATTTATAGTATCTTCTTCTTCTAGAGACCCATTCTTTCTCAGTTAGGCTTTCTAGTATTATTTTCTATCACCATTGCTTACTCATCATATTATATATATTGCATGCTTGTTCTATTCATATCATTCATACATTTCTTTGCTTATATATATATATATATATATCATAAGCGCTCACTAGATAAATAGATTCGTGGCTTCATATATATATGATGTATGTATAGATAATCTAGTTATATTTCACATGAGTTAAATTGTTTTTAACACTCGTGGCTACATTACTTTAACGAATAATGTCTTAATCTTACTTTTGTGTTTTTTTTTTTACTTAGTACTAGTATCGTTTAGCTATCTCCTATTATATTAAATGGGCACAAATATTCATATTGACAGTAACACAATGTGTATTTATTTTTCCTGCTAACAGCAGCAGCGATTCGTATTTTTATTTTACTTAACATGCAATGCAACTATCCTTCCTGCCTGATATTTACTAGAGAAAGGAAAACCTTTTTCCTAAATTATCCCTAAATAATGATGATGATGCTAATAAATTACTTGCGAGATGGGTTATTATATTTGCTTTGTGTATTCGCCAGTCCTGATCTATCTTATTGTGTCCGTTTATAGTTGATTATCTTTTTTTTGTGCTACACGCATTGTTCTGGGTTATACAGCCAGTATATATATAATAATAATAATAATGTACACAGTGCCCCACTACTTGAGTTTAGGTGGTTACCTGCATAGCTCAGTTATACCTCAATGACGGTTAAGACAAAATCACTAGTAAGTAACTCGTAATTACATACGAGTAGATATCGGAACGATCAAATCCGAACGCGAATAGACGCTGTATGCCTAATAAATCGTATAATGTCAAGAGATTGAAAAAAGCTAACTTGTTGGTTAACCGAGTCTTTAACCGATACATTAGGCTCATTCTAAGGGATTGTAGACTTCATTTGTGGCCAGTCAGGCTATCCATGTTTATCATCAAAAGCTCTTCCGTCATGTATATGGAAAACGTTACATTTGGGGCGCTTCGGTAGTACCCTGCTCCTTTGTGAGGGTAAGGAACATAGGCCTCGATATCAATGTTTCAACATGCATATTTCTCTCTATTGCAAAATGCTTCAACTAGTGTGGTACAGATATGCGTTTAAATATTTTTTATTTTGCTTATCGGGTGCAGATAGCCACATATGATTCTACATTCCGAGATTTCTAAGGATCGTTTCAATCTGTAACCATTGCGCTATCTAAATGGTCTTCACATTCGATCTACGACGCATATTGCCGTTGCGCTCAGTCAATTGGGAAAAGTTATTTCAGGAGAAACGGTAGCGTACGCCTGCGCATGGCGTTGCTGTTGTTCTGTCTGTTGAACGTAAAATTATCTTTTTTTTTTTTTTTTTTTCTTTAGCTATTTATAGACCATTGTTATCCGACGTTTTATTGCTAAATACTTCCATGTATATTACTCTGTTTCGTATAAAATTGGAACCACCTAATAAATTTTGCTGTACATCGAAATCATCTCCTAGACCAAAGCTTTGCTTTGAGGTGACAGACAAAGCACCTGTCTTTCAACAATAATAAAGGCTTGATTTCGATTCGTTTGACGCGTCGTATGAGCCACAACTTAGGATTTTCCAGTGACTATTCAATAATTAAGTCTTCAACTCCCTTGTCGTTGTCGACGTTATTTATAGAGCTTTTACAGAGTTAGATAAAAGTGTAAACGTTTCTACATTTTTTTTTTACATAGGTTTTTAACAGGCTGATTGAATAGATTTTGTCCTATGATAACAGCATTAAATCAGCGTTCCTTTTTTTTTTTATCCAAGTTTATTTCCGCAAGGTAAATTTAGCCTTTAAGTCAAGTAAAATTAAATGTAGTGTACCCTTTTAAAGACATATCATTAATTTTATTATAAGGACTGCGCTAGTAATCGATACGTTTTGTGCTAATGAAACCCAATTCAATTACTGGCTCTGACCCTTTCTGTATTCTTGCTAAAATTATGAACGCTCAGAATAATAAACGAGCAGTTTCCTATCTTGTCTTTCTGTTCTTTATGAGTTTCAGTTATTTTTTTTCTGATAACTAGAACCAATTTCCTTTAGTCAATGAATAGGTATTTGCCTAAAGATTTGACTTCTGGCTACTGCCACATCTGCTAGTGAGTTGTTGCTGACAGAAAACTTCTCAGTTATATCTCGATTGCCGGTTGTACATAGCGATAGTTTTCATTGTGCTTCACCACAAGAGCTCTATACTGTGAGTTTCATTTAATCAAATATCTATAAGAGCTCTTTATGTTTTCTTTAAAAACCCATTTATTGGCCACACAGCAACGTCTCAAACTGGACAGTATTAAATGCTAGAAGGCTCAAAAAAGTGGGAAATATTATCGTCGATTTTGACACCTAGTTTGGTGTTAAAATTACTTATCTTCTCATTGCTCTAGTAATTTAGAACAGAAGACGCACGGCTGACATAACCGTTTACATAGAACTAATTTTATCAAAATATGTACTAAGAGCACAGCTGTACTGGAAGCAGTATGTCACTAAACAGGATATCCTCAGATCTGCTTTGAGTTGTGGACCAGCGCCATATTTAAGTAGTTCATGTCATAATGGGTTATTAGATATATCGCATGACGTGCTCTTGCTCGTGTGGGCCGTTAGCTACAGTCTGATTATACTTTTTTCATACGTTATCTTATAATACAATGATTGACTAGTCCTATTCATGGTGCGTCGTGTGTGTTGTTGTTGTTGTTGTTACGAACAATTTTTACGTCGTGAACCTCAATGTGTTAACCTGAAAATTGCCTTCGGTTTACCTACTGCCTCTGTTTTGTCTGGCCATATAGTGACTATTCTGCTCGCATTATCGCTAATACAATAGGAATAGTAAACGAGTTTAATTATAGATTTGTTGGTGCAATTGTTGCCGTTGGTGTTAGATTTTCGAAGGGGAGTGGGCGCAGGCTACTGTTGGGTTTAATGCAATAGTTGGGTTCATTTTTTTGAATGATCATAACTGGCTTTCAAGTAATAATACAACGCTATCATCTCAGAAGGGAATATAAAAGTTACACAACTTTTCTATCTCTCGTATCATATGCAATAATAGTAACAGTATTTACTAAATTGTTTCATTCTCAGCTTCACATTACTTCGCATGCTCTTTATATATATATATATATATATATATATATATTCTTTCTTTTGTATTGTTACTGTTCATTTGATAAACGTTAGAGCGTCGTAATTTGCAACAACGGTGCGTTCATGCTGCTGAGATGATAGCAGTAGCGGTCACTTGGCCGCTGTTTTACGATGTTGACCACTTAATGTCATATATATATATATATATGTGTGGTCAGATGGCAATTAGTTCGCGGTTTGGACAACCATATATAGTGTATAGTAGTAGTAGTAGTAATGTAGTGTATAGCGACAATGATCATGCGTATTGCGTCATCCGACTATTTAGCATCTTTTTCAGTTTGTCCATCGCTTTTTGGGTTTATTGACTTCATCAAGCCACGTCATACTTGCATCAAATCGTTGGTCTACCTCTTTTCGGTTATTATAAGGCGTCGTAATTAAGACTTCATCCACTGCAGTTCGTCAACACAAGGGATACGTATCGTCTGCATTTTAGTAACGCTTTTCGTATGTTTCACAAAGACGTTACGCGTCGCGGTTCACAAGCGTGGCTTAGGCAGTAATTAATTACTGCTGTGCTTTGTTCAGCTGTCATATGGACATACTTGAATTAGGCGACAATTGCTTGTTGCGTTTGCTTGTCCTACGACTGCTGTTGGTGCCGCCTTTGTTTTATTTTGTCGTATGCCTCCAGGCCGAAAGATAGCTTTTACGCAAAGGCTAGTATTTTTTACTAGTTTGCCAGTCGCAGCCAATAGATACGGGTTAGCTAAGGCGTGTTCGGTCCCACGGCCTATCTCTTTGAAAAGAGCCTACATTTCTGGTAACGATCGCCACGCCTGGTCTTAAGTCATGCAGTCCACTACGTCCGCTGATCTAAGTTGCATTACTCGAATCTTAAAAACCAAATGCCTATAGGAGCAGACGCCCTCATAAGACGACGCGCGCTATTTAGGCGGGCTAGCAGAGGATGATAGCTCACCCAAAATTCACTACAATGTGGGCTCGGTTCGTAATGAGATAGGCAGCTAAACTGGACATGTTGGACAATAGGAAAAATTTTCGCCTGAGAAAGTACTTTGAATTTTTGCAGGCTAACTCGTTAGAAGTGATTACCACCTACCCCTACGATTACACCTCTTGCAGTTTCACACGCTGTTTAATTGAAACGCAGATATCCTGATTCTACATTCACCTCTGGCTAGTTGATGTTGTAGAGGGGAACCCGATAGTGTTTTACCACTACAGTGCAATATAGTAACTAGCCATATATCTCATTCTAGCTGCTTTAGTGCTGAGGTATATGCATATCAAATCACAACTTATATTTTCAACGATTCTTTGTCTGACCATTAAACGGACTTGTATTGGCAAAAGGCTCTCATTGGGAACATCGGTCGAGGTATTTTTCTTCCGATTTAGGGGTAAATCGTCGTTGCTACCAGAACTCATCCGGGACGGGATAAATGCTGATGTTGTTGATATGTCGCGCTGACATATCGGCATGTTGCTGCCAATCGAAAAGGTAATCGCTACTTTATCCTGCGTATGTGTTCATGTGAATTTTTCCCTTAAAACGGCCATCCCGTGAACAAACATGGGCTAGCCATTCCTGCACTTCGGTGCAGCAAAGTACTCGCTTCCTTTACTTACGGGCATCCTTCCATTGTGACTATATTTTTTTTTTTTTCAATGAGAACCAGGCACAGTCGGCCTTTTCAAGTCATTGTCGAATTATTTGTTTGGATAGAGTATTATTAAATAGATACGATAACACTTGTTGTTGTGGTAGTCTGCCGTAGCATTCATTGCAGTTTCATATAGCAGTGATTCCGGAGCATGTGGCACCGAATAGACAACGGCCATTCGACATTACGGGTATTATTGTTATTCTTCTGCTGAAAATGTTGTTTAGGCTTCAGTGTTAATTTTCCCGTCTGTGCTGATCGATTAATTGCAATGTGATTTGCGAATGCAAAATACAGTAGAAACACATATGTCTATATACAAGTGGCTCCCATTTTTTTAATCTTGTCTCTGTGTGCATCAGATTCCGCAGTCGCACATCAGAAATATTATTTTTACTCCATCAAAAAAAAAAAAAACTATTTAGATTTTATTGTTCAATCGGTACCTCGATTTTTGATGGTCCGATTATTTATCTACTCTAGTTGCTGCTGCTTCTATCGGTGCCGTATAGTTATCGTTAACTTTATGTCGCGACTGTTATTGCTTTTGTGGGTGTCGACCGTAGTGCACACACTATCCTGCATTACAGATGTTATATTTACTGCTGTTTAATGGAAGGAATTAGTGCTATGTAATTATAGCCCGGGTGGAGAGCATCTCCCACATGTCATATGTTCATAGTCTCTCTTTGTCATTAAAATTATCATTGTACATAATTGAATTATTACAGTTTCGCTATTTCTCATAATCGATCGTGATTGAACCATAGCGTATCTGTTGCTAGCTTTGTTGACTTCACCTCTCTTTGCTTTGATTGCTATGTCAAAACTTTGCTTCGATGTCAAAAAGTAGAGGTCGCATTAAATGCTCGCCGACGTACGTACTCAGTTATCTTAATTTTTGTCATTGTACTTGTTGAAAGCCGGCCTCACGTAAAGCTTATAGCAACCAGTTGGATAGGCGTACTGCTTATCTGGAACATCGCTGTTGCCTGTTTAGTCTTCTGTATATCATCTGCACCTTTTTTTAATCATGATGCGATTTGAAGCCAGTACATACAAGAGCATTTTTAGCTAACTTATTTAATTTACTCGTGCATTACGCACAAGTTTTACTTCGGCAGTTCCAGTTGCAGTTTTCTCAATAGGAAATATTAGGGGACTCTCGGCGAAGCCGGTATAAGCCGCTGGTGAGTTGCCATCTTTCACTTATATATCGATAATAACATATAGCTAATACCCGTGAAATATCTCAGATGGCAGTTATTATCCGCTGAACAGCAATTAATGTTAAAACCTGAATTTTGAGAGATAACTTATTTCGCCTGCTGTATTATATTAAAACTGGCACGTGTGATGGGATTAATCAACAGGCTTGATCACGAATACTCCGGTCGCACGATAACAGTTGGATTATTATCGTGCAACTGGGGTATTCCGGAACTTTGATTTTCATTTGGCGCAGTTAGATATCGACTCATGTAACGCTATCAAATCATGTGTCTATATAGACGTCTCATAATAGGATACTTTCCGAGAGTCCCTCTGTGCTGCAAATGCGCTGCTGTTGACATTGAATTTAGCAAACAATAGAACACGGAAGAGACTTCGTTGTCACACGAGGGACGTTTCCTATGAGCTTCAGCGACGTCATCGGAAACATATCGAACGAGAGAAATTAGGGATCATTAGAATTATGGAAAAGTTAGAGATGTAACCGGAGGATTAAGACGAATGCCTGCGCCTGTTCGATGATCGGGAACAAGCAAACAAAAGTTGCTCGTTTTTCTTATAGAAACTTAATGATGGAGTATTCCTTGTACGATGTTGGACGAGGGTATACTTAAATCGTTTCAACATTGACAAGAGGAGGGGAGAGTGATCGTCTGTTGTTTATGTTGTTCGTCTGAATGCTATTGTTTCTGTATGATCGTTGTAATAACGCGTAGTAAATTACTAAACTAAACTTTTAATTATTATATCGCTCATCTGCCCATAATAACGGTTAATCGAAAAGACGTGCCGAAAGTCTGGCCCCTGTGAGCTGGTCCTTGAGTTTCATTTTTTTTTTATGTATTGTGTCACGAATAATGGCACAAAACAGGTACGGTTAACGGCTTTCTATTTAAACACAGTAGAAAACGTAGCTAGCCATCGCATGGAAACAAGCATTTCTTGTTAGTCCGCGCTCAAGGCAAGGTCTGACAGCGGCACGAATTTCCGATTTGGCAGAAATAAAATAATATTTATGTCTAGTTTAGAATCAATAATCGATCAATTCACATTTCTCGATTCACGTTCCTCGTGTTGGTGTTTTTTTTTATCACTCTGCCATCGATTCAGGCACGTGCTCACACTTCCCCACATAATTTTTCTCCTTAGGGGATCGCTGTTACATTTTCGAAAAAAAAGATTCTATGCAGTGTCACAGCCATGACATACGGGTTTTCAGTTTCACTGAAATTGAACTTGCATTTTTGCCTCTTACAGAATAGCCAATTTGATAAACGAGTATTTCATTGTTGAAAAGTACAGTTTCTGGAATTGTGTCAATGCGCAGAGCGAAAGAAGATTGGTGGCTGTGTTTCGTGAGAAGGGTTTGCTTTAGACCTTAGCAGATCTATACCGATGGTAGTAACAGTAGTAACGCCTTAGTCGTATTGCCACAATGGCAATGATTCCATTTGCAAAGCGCGAAGACTTTGGCCGGTGGACTATCGATTGCTAGAATAATGGGTAGGTAGTATCGGTCTGTCTCGATGTTCTTGGTTACGCTTTGTTACTGTAAATAGATAGGATACTTGTTCGCTTCCGCTCCGATGAATTCACTAAGGGTCATCTTCTGTTACTAGCAACGGAGAAATTACGAACACAGGCCACTGTATTCAGACCGTTGCACAAACATTAATGGTTTCCAATCAGGGCCTTGTAACCCTTGCTCACCTTAATATTCGGCAGGGCTCTTCGTGGGTGTGGCGATACCACAGTGACATGCGAAGGGACACCCGTTTTTTTGCGATTGATGATCGCGTTAGATAATGATTGATTAAAGGGCGTGAAAACAAACGCTGGACGAACGCGAAATCCATCCACGAGTTCGAAGCGACCCCATGAAAAGCTCGGCAGAGTGAAACGATCCCGTTTCAATGGCCCGTGTTCGTTCTCTCTAATAACATCCTTGGGAGTACCATTATTACGCTAGTGAATTCTAATTCCCACCAAGATAAACGACAATCACCTTCTGTCCAACTCCAACAATTTGTCCCACCCAACTCAATATCTTCAATATTAGGGGGTCTCTGCTTAAGTAAGTTGTTTGAGCAAGTCGCTCAACGACATTTCATAATATAAAGATAATGTTCTCAAATATACTTTCTGAAATTGAACGAAAAAGTACAGTCCGTATTATTGAGTAGATTGCGATCTATTTTCAAAATAGGGCGAATAAAGATAAATGAATTTTTCTAATTTGGTACATGTTTTTACGGATCTACATCGAAGTACTACTCTTTCGAATTTGTTACACGACTACTAAATATATGGTGTTAATAAATTATGATGATGAGCACTCGAAGTAATGTTTCGTTTGCTCTACGTGCTCAAAAAGTTCATCTTTATATACATATCAATTTAAAAAAATGACTGATTACAGATTTCTGCATTCTTTGGTTTCTGCTCAATTCGACATTAGGATCTCGTACACATTTCATGTAGTTAATTTGATTACGTCTGACTGTCAGTGTTACTATGATTACTTATATTACGCCCTAATTATTATTAGCGTTTAGGCTACTTATTCATCGCTTGCCCAAATCAAGTTTACCGGGTCTCACATTCCGTGTGGTTGTCTCTACTCATCATCGAAACCCACCATAACTTCTCTTCGTTAACATCGGCGCTTACTTGTATCAGAGATGCGGCAATCGCACAGTGTTCAGTCATTCGTCTGATCGTATATTCGCTTAAACACTTTACTTGCCTTCCGCAATGAGGTGGTATCGGTATATATCGGTGTTTATACCTTGATCCACAGGAACCGTGCATATATTTTTGACTGATTGCTGATTAGAACTCTTCGCATATGATCACTGTCTTCAGTATCACTGTCAACGTCAGGAGCCCCATCATGTGCTTCCATAATACTGTAGAATTAATCCTCCCTCTCAACTAACGGAGATGTTCACCTTATCAATATACTCAAGAAGCATCACACTTGCTCCCTGACGCATCAGACAGCACGTGCAGTGAGCCACCGGGCTAAGCCATTGATCAGTAAAAGCCAGCCTTTCTTCTTCCGCTTGTCGCTGGCACTATTCATCACAACGTATAGAGCACAATAAACCATTTTGATTTATAAAAACCTGTGGCCTGATCGTCCTTTGATGATAAATCAAGCCACACTCGATGACTATTATATCTGTTCTCACTATTACTACCACGATAATGTTGTTTATGTGTGTTAGTTATTTAAGAAACAACAGCATTGCCTGTATATAGCAAGTCTTAGTTTGTGTTCAGAGGTCATTGAGATGTTACCATTGGTCTCTCGTTATTTAGGTAAGACTAAGCCACCTTTTAAGGTAATGCTTCATAAATAGCTCATGCTATTTATCTACAGCGCGACGGGTGGCGTTCGTCCGTTGTCGCGCCGGGCGTTGAAAAGCAGAACTTCTGTGGTGGCGGTGTTAATCGATAGTGGGCGCTAGTTTGTTATTAATTAACACCTCATGTCGGTATTTAGCGCTTGTCGTTTTGTGTTACGAGGTAAGGCTCGTTACACCTCAGTAAATCCTCCTATCTGAATACGTTCCTATTAAAAATAATCTAATGACCATTGTAACTTTTTCATCATTATTAGTCATGAAATCGTTATGTTGGATACTTTCACGATTTAATAGGTAACAATTTACAATCTCAAAACATCTATTTTACTGTAAAAATCATCATTCGCTATGTCCCGAGTTGATAATGCGCCTGCTACTGATAATCCTTAAGGTGGGCTGATTGTTTCTACTTGCCACTAACAACAGTAGCTCACTTTAGAGAAGTGAAGCCTTATAATAAATCATTCAAGGATTTGAAAGAGTGCACTGAAGAATAGCACTCAAAGAAAATAACTAATGTAAACAAGTAAAATAAATCCAGGCATTATAATCTGATAACTGTTAGCGTCTAAATGCTGTCGTATTACTTTATGTGTATGATGTTTCATGATCAGAGGAGATGAGAACAGAGGTGGCACTAACGTTGCTGGAGATGATGATCAAGCCTGAGTTATTCAATTTTGTGGACTGGCGTTAGTCCGAGTGGGTAGCAAGCAGACAGCGTTTGTTTCTAACTCCGCTTCAAATCGTTCATTGATGTTGACAGAAACGCTAATTATTCATTATAAAGCGAATGTCATCATCATCCAGAATCAGAAGGTGCCTCATCGACCAGTCGCCAACTGGATCGCGTCACCTTGGCAACCTGGTTCTTGCGTTTTTGCTAGTCTTCGAAATGTAATAATAAAATTAAATAAAACATATGTTATTGTTATTTTTGTCTACGTTAGCTGTCCGGAAGTGTGTATATGAAAAGAGACACAGTCTGATTTTCGTGAACATTTTTCTAGATCCCGATTTTGAGAAGGAAATTGTCGTTGTTGTTTTAATTTTAATTGATTACAACTACTGTCCTATGACCTTAATTTTGTAATAACAATTCTTGTTAATACTAGCCTATTATATGAATATCGCTCAATTAAGATATTTACTTGGTTAGACTGTTCTCTTGGCGGTATTTTATCTAGCCTCGTTCATCGTCGTGATGGTGGAGCTAATAGCAGTAGTTGGACAGGAGAATGGTTCGTACATTGAGAGAGCGCGGCAGGCATCGTAAATTTGTCACCATTGCACAGTTTTCGGCATTATTATTATTTATATAGCTAATAATTGCGACCAGTGTCAATCATAATTAACAGCTCTAAATAGAAGATATGTTACATCTGTTGATTGAACGAACATAGATATTATCCGATGTCTTTGGTTTGTTCTGATACTTTAAACTAGCCGAGTTAAAAGCCATATGATTTCGGGATAAGCTACGCTAGTTCTAGAAAATATATAGGAATCTGAATACCTAATAGATTTATTTGTGTTTCGTGATGAGCTTTGATACTCAATACTTTATTTTGCAAAGTCATAAACCTTATGCTTGTTTTGAGCAAGTTTTCCGCATCCTATTTGCTGGTACGCGCTGCCCGCTCTCTAATGCCGCTATTGTTTCTACAAGGTTTTTCCGATTAATTTTACTGAACGTATTTTGCTATGTTCGTGGAATATATAAACATAACCACAAAAGGAAGCACCTAGAAATTACTCGAACATGATTTTCTAGAAAATCATGTTTAAGTAATTTTGTGGGTGTATATATGTAAAAAAAAGCAATGCTTTGCCTTCAAGTGTTTAGCTTTAAAGACAATTTCGTTAGTTGTATTCGAAGGAAAATAAATAATGTTTTCACTACTATTTCCATTCTTTGTGATTATTTAGATAGATATTATTCAATAGCTTTTTTTTTTTTAGCGTTTTGTACCCTTCAAGACTACATTACCTTTGATTTTTCGCTACTTGAAGTGTATTACCTGCATAACTATTGTGACTTTACATTCATGTTTTATATATGGTATATATAAGGCCAACGTAGCATTAGCTTTACAGGCTTTTTGCAGAGAACCGCGCCTATGTAAAGGGTAAAATTAGCTGTATTAAGTCTCGTTATGTTAAGTTGGCGGCTATTTCTTGTAGACTCCTATGAACATACATACAATTATGAACTTGTGGTGTGTATGCATGTGCAACCAATATGCTCTTCCATAGGGTCAGAAGGATTTTAGGTTTGGGGGCGCTCCTCTTGTTTCACTTCAACTGTAGCTTTCTGTAGTCGCTGTTATTACCGTCACTGTTGTTGTCAGTATCACATTAGTAGGAGATTTTCCACATTAGACAGGTATTTGATTGAAAAGCTTTTATCGTTGACATGGTGTTCAATGTCCATCTGTTCTCAACACTCTAGTAATTGTTGTTAATAGAGTCGGGTGACAGGTAGAAAACTCTACAATTTTCTGTAGTTTTTTGTGTCACCATAGGCTGTTGTTGTTCTCGTCAATGTATCAGGAACAGCAAGTGTGGTGTTGAAGACATACTGTCCACGTTATAAAATCACAATTTGATATCAGCCTCTCTTTTTTCATAAAAGACACCAGTCCGCCCGATGCGAGACCTACCGCCACCATAGGTGTTGAACTCTTTTGACCCTTTGAGCCACAGAAATGGTCAACATCATACGCTAGGTGAGGTAAGTGACCATTATGGGGTCTATTCCAGTTAAAGTTCTCCGAAAAATAAGACATCAAAGGAGTGAACTTTGAATTATGAAACGATCGGGCGGTTTGGTCAATGATGGGCACGTTAATAGGTGTTCAATATCAAGTATGCGCAAAACTATTTTTCTACTTTCATTATAAATACGTCGTCTGCCATTATGCAGACTGCAGGGTCGTCGGTAAAAATCGTCGTTTCATTGCGTTGACTATCTTCGGCTTTTATTATGAGTAGTATATTATGTTGTTATTCTTCGTTAATGCGTGTTAGCATTATCATATAACCGTTAGCCTTTTAAAGCGATATGAATGAGTGAATGTCGGAATTTCTTATATATCACTCGTTTGCTCGTTAGATGAAGAACATAATCAGACTAAAAATACATCAGTCGTACCTTTTCACTTTTTTTTTTTATCAGTAAATCAATTATTTCTAAATAACCTAGGTCATTAATCGTAACGACAGGTTAAAAATAGATTGCCCCAGTAAGAGAATTGCATCTACGAGCACTCTCGTACAGTCGCTGACCTGAAGTAACTCTTAAATTCAGTTATCCGCACAGGCACTTACTTAACCAAAAGAACAACAACCGTGGCCGCTAGATCAACCTTAAATTGATATATGACGCTAAGGAAATCATATAAGCTGGCAAAGATAAACAAAGAAAGTCAAGTAAATGGTGTGACTTGGTCGTACGACTCTATGCCTTCTGCTAATTATGGACTTGGAGACTTCTAGGACATAGGCATACATGCTTAAGAATGCGCACTTCTGATTTAAGCAAGAAGAGCTTTAGGTACAAAAAATAGTAGGGTTCTTAAAATGCGTCATTCAACTCAATTTCCAATTGACTTACGTATGTTAGATAGAGACCGAGCAGTAAAGCTGATAAGAAAAATTTCCTCAATGCTTAATGCCCTGTATTGATAGCCTTAATAAGCAACGTCCCGAAATGTAAGCGCAAAGACATCGATTCCTATACAATACCAAACATGAACCTCTATTGACGTATTTTGCTAGAAACACAAGTTCTAGATGAATGTGTGATTTGCAGTCGTTTCCACCGCAGTTTTAGTGTGCTTTTCTAGACGTGGAATAAAAGTGACTGGACCAATTCTGTTGCTTTTATACCATTTGATGACCTCTACAAGTTTCTGATTCTATAGATTATGTGAGGCTTTAAAAGGAGGACAATAATGTATAGAGAGCTGGATAATAGTACTCTAGCTGTTGTCCATCCTTCCATAATTGTATGCTTCTCCTTTGAACCTTCCAGCTTGTTTTGCCTGCTTTTATTTCACATAGATGTTATCGTAATTAGAGAAATTTCAGTTATTTAGTTGTCCTCTAAATCAGTCATCGGGGCCGTCATCATGTGCTCCTGTGTTCGAGTCAGTGACAAAAACGTTTGAAGGCAAACCATATCGATACTCAAACTTCCATGCCTAATTAGTATTGGTATGGCTTCGAATTGGGTGCTGCTGACAGCAGTTGGCTACGTTAATTTCTTTATAAACCTTTACAAATGAAAAAAGCATCACGTCGGGTCCGTCAAAAGAATTTGACAAACATTTTGGCAAAGAAGCCTGTATTTATGTGATAGCCGCCAAACGTGCACATATGCCACTGCTCGATAATGACTGAGCGCACTGCAGAGCCCGTGCTGGAGACTGCGGACAAGCATTGCTTTGGATGGCATTGGCATAGTTACTTGTTGTTTTTTGCCATTTTCACGTTTGTGACATAACTGTTTCTTATTCTATATAGCAATGAAGTCGATGTAAAACAATTTCCATATTTTTTTATGGCTTAAAGAGTACTTGTTATGCCCAAGTGCTAGTACTTGCAATCGAATAAGCGATCATGATTCGTAAACATCTTCGTTTGCATTATCTATTCTCTGTGTTCAGGAAGGAATAATATAGCAATAATTATAATGATAGTAAAACTAATAGTTCTCACTGTTATGATCAGATGCCTGTAGCATTTGGTAGTCATTGTAGAAATACTGTGTCGCCAGCTTACATATTTGACAACTGTTTTTCTTCCAATGGCAAACGCCGTTGATTTAAATAATTGCTACTGCTCTCTGTTTATCGATTGTTGTTTGTTCGATGGTTCGATATGTGCCATTGGTCGTATGGTAATCAGCAGTCTTTTCGCAGCCTGTATTGCGCGTAGCATGAGGCATAGCTAAATACTTTACAGCTTTTCTTTGAAATTTGTTTTTTGCCGTTCGACCTCTTTAGTCTACGCTTGTATGATGGGAAGTTGTTAAAATCCACTGGCCCTTACTTGACAAAACTCAGTTTCAGTAGAAGAATACTTAGACTGTTTGAAATAATCAAGCTAAGGCACCCATTCTAATGTTACGTAGGCCAAAGTACAACTGCTGAGGCTCCACGATCAAGTTATTATAACAAAATTGTTGCAAACTCCGTCGATGTGAACATATTTCTCTCCACTGTATATGATTAGACGAGGGCTGTTTTCCGTAGTATTGGACAATCCTTGCGGGTTAACATAGCAATCTATCTACACCTGTCGCACAACCTGATAGGGATACTCCTATCACTCACTATCGTGAATGTTTATACGCTTATACGATCCTTGTTATTATTATCACTCAACTGTCAATTTCTATGGAGGAGACCATACTTTGAGTGACTTGAAGGTCTTTCGTTGGGTCTTACCTCGGACCAATAAAGAGAAGTGAACAGTTGAGTTAGTTGACTGATCTCATTCTAACAGTAATAGGATAAACGCACTCGGAAAATATCGCTAAGAATCTCTTGAGGTTTCTCATTAAGGGGTTTTCTCTGCTATGCTCTAAAAGTGAAAGATGAACGAACTTTTCCAGAAGTTATTTGCAATTTCTGCAAGTTCGATTAGCCCGCAACTTGCGAATAGGAAAATTAAAGTAGCTATCTGTAATCGACCTGAACAAAAGTACTATATCATTACTTAATACGTTGATGGCATCCGTTACATCTCCCATTGGTACAGACAAACCCACTTAACGTGATCCTCAAGGCTGCATACATAGAATAGTACATAATCGGCAGATGAGTGAGAGCGCGAATACCGCCGATGTGGATAACTAGCGCAGTAACGTTTGTTTCGTTACATCTGTTACATGTGTTACATACCCTTGTGACACTGTAACATGGCCACCCGGCCCCAGCCGGTCGAGGTCGGGTAGCCTCGGCAATCGGTTAAAAATGTGAATCGGATTGAATTGAAGTATTTTGCTGGATGATGCGCTGTTGCTGCTGCTGCTGCTGCTGCTGCTTACTATAATCTTCTGTTCGGAATAGACGCCTGCTTCCTTTTTGTTATCATATATTATAGTTTGTAAAACGATTGCATCAGCAATATCTGTTTCGACATGTGTTTAATTTTTATAGACATTTCCCATCGTATCAGAGACGGAACATCGTCGCTTGGGGGCGGGCATACATTCTAATGCTTAGGTTGCCACAAGCCTGAACCGTAATAATACCGTTTGGAGGTATCATTTATGAGTACTGCTTACAACAGATCGTGATCTACTAAAGAAGAGTACAATATGATGGCAATCTATTATAGTTTCAAAAAACGTGTCCAGACATGAAACGCAATCATGCTTGTCCGTATTGAAATCACGAATTGAAGATACTACGTCACGATATATAGAAAAATCGACGTGTGATAATATTTTACAAGTAATTATTTAGGTAATCTAGAGATCATTTTCGTAATTTTTTATTTGTATTTTTTTTTGTTTTTTACTACAATTCAGCTTTCTTTTGTTTCTGCTTTGAATGCGATTAATCATTACTACGCAGCGTTATTATTACCATTGTTTTGTTTCATTGAAAATATTTTTATCTGCTGAAGGGTAAAAACGTGTGCCGTCTTCTACTAACTTGTTTTCTTGTTATCTGCAGTTAGTTAGCCGCGTTGTATTTCCGTGCTACAGTCGCCAGCGAGTGACCCTCGTAGGGTATCGAAGAAATACTATTCCGATGATGTCAGGTTTTTCTCTCTGCATTAACTCCGCTGCTGTTTGTTTTGTGTCCATTCATAATATTTTTCGTTTTTGTCTGTTACGCATCCTGTGTGCATGGTATGTAACCGTTAAATAAGACTCGTTGTCATCGTGTCTTCCAATGAATGCGTATCCTAATGCCATCACATGTGTTCTGTTATATGCGTTCGCATTATGTATTGTTCTTACAATATTCTTCGCTGCTGCTGCTGCTGCTGCTGCTGCCGCCAATAAGAATACCGTTTGTTTGAACCGTTATGTTTTTATTACGTCAGTAGCAGGAGCTCTGCTCCCTTGTCACATAGTTATGAAGATGAACCAACATGATAATTAGCTTTTTGGTTCTTTACAAGGTGTCAATAGATCGATGATGTTACAGGCAGAACACTGCGCTAGTTTTCAGTCCTCAGTTTATGACAGACACTGTGTGTATGTGGGCGTATGCATATGCATGTGTGTGTCTGCGCATACTTGTACTGCACATATCAGTAGCGGTACAAGTACACGTATGAACATTGTTTCCGGATCCTTGACAATGTGATCGGGAAACTGTTATGTATTGCTGGACCTTTCTGTTTGTTATTATCGTTGTTATCGCTGCTGCAGTCGTATAAGTTTTATCGTTAATATTATTGTCTTTAGCGTTAGCAAATTGTCACAAAAACCGCGCTTCTTGTTACTGTTGTTTTCGCTACTGCTGTTAATAGCTTGTTAGAAAAGTGCTACGTACTTCCTCACATACGTTTGTTTGCGTATATGTATATAAATGTGTCAGGGATCAGCACATGTTGTGACAACTCATCATCGTCTGATCTTGTTCCTCCGTGTGATCCTTTTGGTATTAGGTTGTTGATGGTCTTCGTCCTGCTCGTTATCTACAGCTTTCTGCCCGGCCTGTCGGCCCTCATTACTTTTCAATAGATCAGACTAGCTTTTCAGCTATTTTTGTCGCTGTAGAAATGAAATAGCTGGAACTGTTCTTACTACTCTGACTGTAGCTGCTTATAGCACTGTACAATAATAAATCTGGACTTCGTTGAAGCGTTTTGAACGAATATATCCACTCTTGCCTGCCAAAACTGGGGTTAATACAGGACGGGGTTTGGGCCTGGCTATGCTAACACATTTGGCTCTTCATAAGCTAAAATTAGTTTTAACATTGTAAGCCATTTTGCTTTGTTCGAACGTATTCCGCTGGCGCCTGCTTGTTCATGGAAGGCGTTGTTTGTTTCACTACTAACAAGTGAACAAAGCATTGACTGACTATTAAGAGCCATTTAGGTAAATATTTTTATTTCTGCTGCCTGAAAAATGGCCGTAGTATTATGCGCTATTATATGCAACCCAATCGCACTGCACGGTTACGCATCAAAATACGACATAGGGCATATTGCTTCCATTTCGAGTAGCGGAAAGTCACTGCATAAAGTAACGGGCCGGTTCGTTTACTTCGATCTTAACGTTAAAGAGCCATTAGCCAAAAATGGCAGCGATTACATCGACGTAAGGAATTATCCCAAGTAATTTTTTCGAAAATATTCCGGGCCTTCTCCGGATCGGGTCGTAGTACTGTACTACGCAGGAAGGTAAAATTGGAACAAAAGATGAAGTCCTAGTGGCAAAATAGTTATTAATTGAGTGAATGCAAGCCTAATCGTGAACGTAGAAGAAAACGATAATATATCGAACTTTTTTGATGCTGCGCTGGAACGGACCAATAGTTATCGTTTTCGTTTAATCACATCGTTCGTTCTGAGTAGATTTTTGAGCAGAAATAGTTCAACTTTGTTCGGGCAGTTTTGGATAATATGCCGCGCAACTGTCGACATTTCATGCATGATGGTATGCAGAAGTTTTTCGTTCTTCTTCTTCTTCTTCTTCTTCTTCTGAGTGTCATTTACTTTCGTCAAATACACGAGCGTAAGCATCGAAAAGAGAGACTAAGTACTTTGTCCTCTTTTTGTTGTTATCCGTGGGCGTCATTATACGACACGCTCCTTCTCGTTTATATTGTTATCATCACCACCACCAGCATGATCATCGTCACAAGTAATCATTATACGGTTTCAATTTTTCCTTATTGTCGCTTAGTCTGCTTTACCGTTGCTGTTGTTACATGTGCTTGTCGAAATTCACGACCATTGAACTAAGAAGATCTCTTGTTTGAAGCTTCATCAGCTGTTTTATTGTTGATGTTACGAGCCAGACTTTGAGAGTGATTGTAGTAGCTTGTAGCATTATATTATCGTATATAAGAGGTGTTTTTGTACTTGCTTTTGCTACTGCAGTTGCTTCTGCTGTTCGTATGATTGCATTGCGTAAAAACATAGCTTTGCGTCATGACCATGCTACGTACTGTTAGTATTTGGTATAGTAATTGTTGCTTGTCTAGCGTTTGTTTGATCTTCTGTCAAATGTCCAATTTCTGCACGGCAGCAACGGTAGGAACAAAAAAAAAAAAACTCAATATGCCTTCCTTGGCTCAAATGTGATTGCTGTGTTTTTTCAGTCATCTACTTGTAGAAGCGGTGTCTTCTTCAATGAGCTCGTAAGACTTCTGCATTGCTTGCCTTAACATATTCATCGGAATTCTGACGATTCGTTTTGAAGGGAAGCGCATACTAAAACATATTTGCTGCCATAAATCGTAGCTTGATATACATTTATGGTGCCGCGTATTACGTCTTGTAGGATAGGAATGGCAAGGTTTACGATGATCGATTTTTGACTGGAGGCTTTCCAATTGAGAAATTCATATACACTCTTACACCGTTTTGTGCAAAACACGGTTGCAAGTCTCAACTGTGGTGTGGCAATTTGCTATGAAATTACGAAGTTTTTATCTTTGTCGTCAGATAGAATTATCTGACTGACACGTAACTTAAACTACACAAATGGCAAAGGTTAGCCAACTTAACGTTTGTCTATATATACGTTTGCCAATCAGAGTGGATCCCAGGCCCAATTCAGCTTGCAGGCCTTTGTCTCCGGGAAGGTGTAGTTTGAAAGTCAGCTGGCCCTAGCGTGTTATCGGGAAGATACTTTTCAGCAAAAAATTTAGCACAAAAAGATATTGATAGTTACGTCGCAGAATCTAGTCAGCTGATTTTGGCTGATGTATGTTGCACGTATGCGTTTTGATAAGAATTATGTCTCGTATTCTATTGATAATGGGTGTTTTTGACTAGCTCTGGATTTGTGCATTGATGCGTGTATGTGTATGTGGGCGAGGTTATTCGTTAGACAGCTCTCGCTTTTGAAGGGGGCTGGCCGAAGGTAGCGAAGCTTAGAGTAGGTCGAAAGGGCGTTTAGGGGGACTTGTTGCCATGACCAACAAACGGCGTGTATTGAGAAAATACTTCTTGTCTTTAGTATCGCTCTGTACGCTGAAGACTGACAGAATTGTGTAACTAATGGGTCATGTGATAGGTCAATGTAAGTAATAATAATAGTAAAACAATGGGTCTGCGAAAAGTGTACATACTGACGTCATCAGTCACTATTTTGACCGGCACGTATTCTTCCTAAATTTTTGTATTGCAAACATCTGCAAGCTAATGAAACGATATTTACTTTTAGCCCCTTTCTACAATGCCGACGGCAATAATATCGCTGTCACGTGATTTTCCGACTAATATTTACTCTCTGGAAATTACTTTCTGACCCATTGCATATGTCTGCTATTCTAGTAATAGAGAGTAGCGGGAGCGCAATAGGATTTCTAGGCATTCAGGAATAATTAGTGCAACACCGACAAAGTGGAGCTATTAGTCCTCTGTTTGCCTGCCTAGGTGCTTCGATTTGATGAGGCTCAAAACCGGCGAGCAGAATGTACAAATGCATCCACTCCAAGTAGAGACTGCCGGTTAATGTCATGGTTTGGGGCAACGATAGGCAAACGTGGAGGACATGGGCAAACGCTTCACAGGTATACACACAATAGCGCAATATTATGATTGGTGTGATTACGTAGTATACGATGACAATAGTATCATAGTAATAATCCTGCTGCTGTTTTTGTAATACTGTTGTACACGAGTTATGATCGGGTATTAATCTGTCATTGACAGAAGACGGAACGATAGAAGCGTCTTGGTTCCAATCTGTAGATAGACGCATATTTTCTGTTGATTCAAACGGCTGCAATTGTTGACTCTATGTGTGCTGCTGCTGTTGTTATATCATCATGGTTATTATGTTTACGAACGTCAATATTCACAACACATGACCACGGACAGGGATATTCTGTATTAGATATCGTCACGATTTATAATAAAACTGTTTATTTCGAAATTACGATTCTGTCTGCACACGACATACATGGGTGCGTGATAAATTAGTTGAAGTAGGTTACTATTGTTGTTATATTTAATTACCCATATCGATATACACCGAACCTCTGTACATTATACGAGAAAGATAGAGAATGCAGGGGTAGTCAGGGGCACACATTATACGACATAGTATCAATGTAAGTAGAGAAATGTTATCTATCATATTTGCTATACTATATGATTGCTGTTAAGCATGGCTACAATATCTGAAGGGACGAAAATGGTGGCGCTAATAAAACCCTCAACCAGATGGTATCATTTCGTTGTTTATATCTTATGTTTAGTATATAATTTATTGTCCTATGCTACATTTTGACGGCTTATCCATCTTGTTCGCTCTGTGTTTATAATTCTGCAATTTCTGTATTCACAAGTAGCTCGTTTCGGAATCCAATGTTGAATGATCACCCGCTATTCATCATATGACACAATAAAAATTCCGTAATTATCTCTGTCCATCATGATACTCATGGGCACCGCCACGACCCCTAGTGTTGTCGTTTATTGTATTATTTTTGCCGTCTTCTTGACCAGTGAGTCGCGCTTTCGTGTTAGTAGTCATTGTGTTCACGTCGACTTCGTGAAGCACACTCCTTAGCTCGTCTTGTGTTACACAGAAAGTTATTACCTATACTGAAATTAGCCATTTTTCCCCACCTTAAATGTCTTTAGCAGCTTTTTTGTTGACCATAACTCCTTATGTTCGATGTATTTAGGCTCGGTTTGTCATTGTTGTAATCCAGTTGCTCTTTGTTTACCATTGGATTTGCCGTCTGCTCCAAATGTTGTCGGTGTCGCCGGCTTTGAGACAAAATGTATGTTGCTTCTGTTCGAGAAATTTACAGGTCCAGTCTTTAGCGCAACAGCTGATCGTTCCATTGAGACGTGATGCAGGCTATAGTGTCCTCGCCGTTATTATGTCCTTGATGCTGTTCGTCCTTTATCATCATCATCGTCGTCGTCGTCGTCGTCGTCGGCCTTGCTGACGGCTGGAATCGTCGTGGTCCCCACCTGCCTCTCCTGTTGGGGCGATGTTGTTGCCGTCGCTTCTGTTGCATGTATTTGGCTCTGTATCGAAATCTTTGCGGTTCTGGAACGCTGGATGTGCATATGGGGGAATGGTATGTTAACTTATGATAGTTGACGTCTTTGTATTGTTGTTGCTTGTGCAGTGCCGATCTAATAGCGAGTTTGTAATCATCGCCGTAAATACGTAATTAGGACCAAATTGTTATAGTAGAGAACTATATAATTGATCAGAAGGAGTTGGAGGTGACAATGTGTATTTTTGCTAAACGTGCGTTCAGGATTAGCTTCTGCCGTTGAGGTTCTCGCCGTTGTAGGCTTAAGCATCAATTATGTGAAGTATGACAAAGTCTCTTTACGGTTGCTATTGCTGTTATGATTGTTGATAACAGATGCAGGCTATCTTCGCAGCAAGCGGTCGGTGTTGCTTTGGCCGAGGCATTTCCTTTCATCTGTCAAACTTTCTGGCGGTCCAGAAAGGAAAGTCCTACCTCTGAGTAGCATTCACTGGTCATATATATTACGCATCGCTGTCATCAGTAGCAATCTGATGAGCTTTAGCTTTTCTGAAGGACGCCTTCTGCTTGTTTGTGACTACTATATCTTGTAGTGAAAGATCGTTTTGCTGCTGCTGCTGCTGCTGCTGCTGTACGCGACGTATTCGTTGATGCGTACACGTATGTGCCATTTTTGCTGGATGCGCTGTTACACAAACGTCAGTTCTTCATGGCTGTTAAGCAAAGTTACATGCTAGCCAATAGTGTTGTCTGGGTGTAGTCGATATTGCTCAGCGTGTAGCTCTCAGTGACGCCAAATCTGCGCGTGCAATCAGAACCCCTGTATTTATAAATCGCCTTTGCTAACAGAAAATGTGGTAAGCAAACATCAAAAGTATATTTGATTCATACAATAAGTGTGGCCAATCTATTTAAGTAGGACCGTATTTGTGGTAGCTGTCGGTGCCATGATATGAATTAGGCGACACCGTAGCTCGCATTATAATCTGCGCTGATTTTTCAATTAGCCTTACGGACATCATTAAGATTGCAATTATCTTCTTTTTTTTTTTTACATTATCATCATTTTCTTTACTGTGAATATTATTATTATTATGAAGTTTGCGCGCCACGTTGTTGGCCTGCGATTTGCTGGTTCTGCCCTTATTTCTCCGCCTTGTGTAGTTCCGCATTGGAATTGCTTGTAGAAAATGTACGAGATCTGCGTGCCGTTACTTTGATCTGTCTCTTACTTGTTTTGGAGATATATCTTAATATTGTTACCTTCAAATAATTAATACTTGCCCAATTTATTAAGCTAAGCAGCTTTGATAGATATATGTATCGCGTTTCTTTGTATATATACTCACATAAAACCAATTTGCTGCAGTGCTCATGTGCTTGCCATTTGTACGGAGGGGTGTTGGAGTGTCGACGCATTTCGGCTGTTGTGGTCTATGCGATTGTTCTTGCTTGAAGGTGCCGCAACTTCTGGTACAAGCATTCCATGGGCCTGCTGAGGAGCCTTATGCTCAAATATCATCATAGCGTATGTGCTATGCGTATAGGCGCAGTTCTTCTGTGGTCATTGTGGGGACGCTAATTAGTACGTCTTTATCATCAGCCTGCTTGTGTTTGTTCGTAGATATGATGCTGATCGATTGTCAGCTTATAGCGTTGTTCCTTGTTTTTAAACTTTTCTCGGTCCTGATCTCCGTGTATATTCTTGAAAAATTGACTTCGGAATATTAGTGAGCGATCTTAAAGTTCGATTTTGAAATCCATTGCCCAGTGGAATGCATGATTGTTCTTGTGAACATCTCAGTTTGGTGTCTAATGCTCGGTACACAAACGGCTGTGAACGTAATTTCATGTTATAGCGCTGTTTATTCAACAGCACGTGGTCAAGCATCTATCGTTCATGTTGCTGTTTTTGGTGATAATTCATAAGCCGTATAAAGTGGTGTACCTTAGCATGTAGTACTATTAGTAGTTACTGTTGTAGTTAGTAATGTCGACTTATTTCGTATTGTACTTCTTTCCAGGAACTGGTGCCGGATAGAGCCGTCGAAATTAGGCTGGTGATTGGCCAGTTAGAATTCGTAGGCAAACCTCTGCCCAAATTGGCAAACTCGCATTAGTGGATATGGGCCGCCCACGTTGTCGTACACCGACCATGTGTACTAGAATTTGGCGCTTTTCTATGGCCATTGAGGTTGGTGTATACATTGTCTTCGACATTGTATGTAACGCGATGTATGGGTGTTTGTGTGTGTAATAATGAGATGGATGGGTAATCTTAGCGTTCAAGGTCTGGATTGTTTACGCCTCCTGTAGTCGGCTGCAAACATTAGCGCTTGATGTTGTTCAACAAATGTAAATATTGATAAATGGTGATTTTACATTTCATCAATATTCTATTTAGTTGTTTGATTCGACCAAACGTTTGTTTTCCCGCGCAATTTTAAATTGTCTAATGGCTTGTCGTATCATTGTACTCTCGTTTAGAACCTTATAATTCTCTTTTAAATAAATAGGTAAATAAAAGATTTTTTTTTTTTTTATATTACTATGGATTTAAACACAATCAATTGGAGGCTAGGCGCCATCATTGCACTATTTGACATGTGCGTCCTAAAGGCGTACATGTATTACGTAGTTGGGATGTCGTTTTTTTGTTCGTCAGTGGTCAATATACACTGCTGTCCATCGATAGTCAGTTACGTCTAACAGATTCGTTCCTAGGTACTTCCCAAATTCACTTACTAGCTAATTGTCTTCGCTTCACTTGTATTGGTATTATTTCATCAGGCTGCAGGGTGAGTCGTTATTGTTTGTTCATTTATATTTCTTCTACAATGAATGTTAACTAAGTGTGTTTGGTGTTGGCCTGTAGATACGAATGCCATATAGTTCATATATATAGAGTAGTTATGAACAGTGTTGATTGACTTAACTCCCTTTAAATTTTGTATTTCAAAAACTGGCAAATTTTTTCCGGCATGAAATGTATTGTTGGGCTTACTATATACTTCTTCTTTGTCAGTATGCTAAGTCGATCTTTATTTGTACATTTATTGACCTTTCTGGTACTTGAGAACCGTTCTTTATCTAGCAGTGACCGGTTCGGCAATAACCCAGAGGCTTCATTATGCCTGACAGTTTCGCCTAGCAAAGGCCGCAAATTGGTTCCTGACTTGGCCATATCGATGGCTAGAATTTTACACACTACATCGTAGATCTACGAGTTGTTAACGAGATCAGCTCTAACGCTTTTAGCACAGCGTCTTTTCGAGGTTCTATTTTTCGTTCATTAGTTGAATAGGTGGTAGTAAACAGTCAGCGATAGTGTTACTGCAGTTTGTTTTCTATTTAGTTGACAGGGGACAAGTTCCGTTGACTGAAATCCTCCAAGGCGGAATAAATTCTTCTTTCATAGGGGCTGTCGATATACGCATAATGTATATATGCATATTTATTTATCCTGTCATCGCTGTACGCTCTTGAATTGTTCTTGTAGGTGGAGCCAAGTGTCCTGAAATCTTTCTTGCCGTCAGCACAGTTTAGGTACAGGAAGTGAGTAGCAGTAATTAATATTTATATATTCGATAATACATGTGGCAATACTAAGTTTGATCACTAAATCAAAGTCGCTACCTTGTAGCGATTTTACGTAACCAGACGTTCTTACTACACCGTCGTTTTGACTCGATATGAAAATATATTATCACCAACGCATCATGTCTTTCGTTATACGTTAGCTAACATTCATCGATGCCTACAAATTTTCACAACATGTAAACTGTTGCTCATCAATTTTATCTGTATGGAGTATTGGTAATAACAACCTGACATATATTTTTATGGAAACAATCTCTTTTTCTCTAGAATCTCTCTTTCTAGAGAAGAATCTTTCTCTGTTCATGCCAAAATATTATAGATAAGCGTCTATTTTTTTTTTTGGAGACATCGACGTATTGGCTCCGTCCGAGCGATAATGCTAAACGAGCATAAAACTGATCTTCAATTTTAGGTTAGGCACCTCGTTTGAGATAAATTAGGTCTATTGTCTTCTATAAAATAGTCATGATTTTTCTCACAATGTTGTTATTAATTCGCACGCTTATCGTAAGGAGTCAAGTGGCGCATATTAGCATAACGCTACTTCGTCTGCCTATTGTTGGTATTAAACGTGTCGTGGCTATACTATGCCATCCTGTGCTGTCGATATATTTGGCTAAAAAGACATCAGTCTTTATCTTTTAGCTTGATAACGAGCACCGCTTCCGTCAAGTTGTTGTTGTTGTTGTTGTTGTTGCGTTGAATCTTCCCTATACGTTTGTTTGAGCCATGTAAAATAACGATCATGCACTACGACGAAGGCTATCTTGTCTTGCTGTTACCATCACCATGACTGTATGATACTATGTCATGATGGTAATTGCTCCCCACATTAAACTAATGGACTTCTACCCCTTGTAGGAAATATATCGATCCAACATAAATACTACATAATGTATGCTTTTAAAATTGTGTTTCCTTCTCTCTCTCTCTCGCTCTCTCTCTCCACAAAAAGGTCCAAGAGAATCATGCCTATTTTCGTTTTTGACGTATTTGTGCATGCATAAACGTTCAAGTTGGCTTATTTTACAACACAAGGTTATAGCTAATTGAAAATGGAAGAAGAGTTTGTCACCTCTGGTTAAGTTAAACATTATAATTTTAGACATTTCCATGTAGGTGATTTACTGATATATGGTAATATTTCGTTACGTAGTAATGAAATGAATAAAGTCGTAGAAAACTGCCGGCACGTTAGATAATCGTGGTCGGTGACTTCAGTCTACGTGTCGTCATAGTGATTGTTTGAGAAAGAGGTTTTTATAGTTCCATTTGATCATCATTGATACCAGGGGATGTCCATGCCCACAAACAAGTGTCCTCTTGGCAGTCAACCTCGATATCATCGCTGGTAAAAGCAGAAGCATAGAATCGATAATTTATCTTATTGCGCATTTATATTAGTTGCTATAACAAATCGTGATAAAATTGTGAAGATTTAGTTCTGCCATTAATTAACAGTGGGAATATATTTTTACTTTTTACGCTGTTGAGCACACTTACCGACTCAGTTTGTATGAATTATGAATAATAACATAAACATTTTCGTTACTGCCCTTTCGTTGAACGTTCGGTAAGGACAAAATGCGCAAAATCGTTATAATGAGCTTGTAATAATGACATCGTTTGTGGAACTGGGCTTCGCATCAAGAAAAACATGATAACAAACGCGTAGCTAGAGTATTGTCGACAACTACTCAATTTCTCACTAAAGCATTTCTATTTTCTCATCGACCTTTTTGGAAAAATCGGCGTCACTATAACTATTATTAGCATTATCACTGCTGTACTCAAACGTAAATATAATTATTTGTGTTTAAAGTGTCTCTATAAATAAGATTTATCTAAATATTGTTGTGGAAGTAATTTATACTATTTCTGTTTAATTTGCCTTCTCTTTATCAATGTTTGCCTCAAAATGCTATGTCCCTATTTACCTTTATATAAGTTTACAAATTCTGTAGTCTTGCAACGGTGGTATTACAGACGGTTATGGTGTTGCCGGAATGTTTCCTTTAAATTAGATTGGTTTACTTTTGTGTCAGGTTGATAAGTTAGCTGAGGTTACCCTTCTAAATTTAATGGAAGAAAGCAATCATATTATATACTAACCAATAACTCAATTAAAAAATAGAAGATATGAACAATCATCACTTACTGTCGTGCTTGTTGTGCTGGTAATGCTTCGTTCGTTAAGCATCAGATATATATATGTTGTAGCCATTTAGAAGAATTAACATTTGTTTGAGCATGCTAATAATTATGTTTTAGCTATCGCTAAGCCTCTCTGTTGAAAAAAACCTGTATGAATTTTAGCAGACTGCATAATATTGTAAATCCATTGCAGTGTATGAAGGTAGTCGATTAGTAGTATTTGCTAGGGTCGTGTTCTGCTTCTTGGCAGATCTTCCAACCTGCTAAAAATGCTCCCTACCGATAGCTTTTATCAGGAACGCTCGCAAACGTGCTATTAGTTTCTTTCGAAGATTGATAATCTTATTTGCTAGTCGCATACCCTGGGCTATTTGATCCTCGCCGAACAGGGTGATTCAAGCCTAAGTGGTGCACAAAATTTCAACATTATGGTTACCTAATGAACGCTTCCAGAAGATACGATCGATTGATGGACTGCAACCACTAGCCAAATTTTTGTTACATTGATTTCTACCCTCATACTTTTTTTCGAACGCTTGAGCCTACAAAGGATAATACGTCTGGCTTGGTCGATCTAAGTTTGAGCCAGAGGACTTACACTTAAATTTAATATCTCTAGTATTGCATATAAGAACCAAATGTTTGAAGAATTCAGTTAAGTTCAAGGTGTTCGATTGCCCCAGTAAAATTATTTGTATTCACTTGTTACGATAGCTTGCATCTATCAGCAAAGGTTTGTTTGGTTCGAGATAGGGTTGCCCTGTCCGCTTTGGACAAGTGTGGCATTGGTGGACGCGCCGCTTAGCCCGTCGAGCCCGGCCAGGTCCATAACATGCGAATGGCCCGAGTGTTGTCCGTGACCGTGGCCCGCTGGGGGCTGTGTTGCGTGCGCACTTCCCCGGTTGGGCTTGTATTCGAGCCCGGGGTCGAACTGCAGCAGCACGAACACCATGTCGGTGGGCAGGAGCTGGAACTCGGCAGGCGGGTTTGTTATCACATAGCGTTTAGTTGATCCGCCACCACCCCCGCCTTCATTTCCATTGTTAGCTGAAGTATCACGGAAGCGGTAGAGCCCGATGCACAGCATACCGTATGAGCGTAGTGAGGCCACAAACAGGTCTCCGTACTTGCCCCCCTCGCCAAACTGTGCCAGCGGCCCGTCGTACAGCGAGATCTGAAAAAAATATGTACATAAAAACCAACTGAGACGACCAAAACTTTCCTGAACCCTTCTTTCTAACCAACAGTATCGGTAGATATTTTCCGTTAAACGTAAAGACCAGACTAACCAAAGTAAACTCTGTATTTCAGTAACTTAAAGTGGGACAAATATCACATGCTAGTTTCCCAGTGGAGTACTAATGATTCGCCAAGTGTGACCGGTCGCGAAATAATACTGCTTAAATAATTTTAGAATGTTCTAAGTAAACATACATAAGCCTCTCTTAACATTGAAACAATGTTTTGCACAAGAGCTTAACGTTTGTAACGCCCACGCCGTCTGCCTGCCTTTTCGAAGTTGAGGAAACTACACTAGTGAACGCTAGAACAATCAAACAATTGAGGAATCATAGTATTTTTATTATTATCGAAGATCGAAAGGTCTTATCGCACTCGTCCAGTCTGTAGTTTGAAGTATCTAAGCAAAATAACTCATCAACTCTGCTACAGCAGAGTTTGTCATTCTGTTTGTGTTCACCGGCACTGTTCGCCATTAAAAGAATGTCAATAAAAATACGAATAAATCAAGCAGAACTGTACTGCGATATAGGCGACTTAAATCACTCATTTTGTTTCGGACTAAGAGTGTGCTTTACTACGCCCGCCTGTTGTGATGTTTCCTGGGTAATGAACCCTACGTTCCAGTTCTCGTTGAAAAACTTAGCTTTCAGTCACAAAATATTTGCTCGTTTCTTCCGTACCTCGGCGCGCAGTGTACTTTTCGTCATTAGAAAGCCGCTTAGATTCACTCGCGGAATTTCTACAGGACATTCGCAGAATAAGCTTACGGGGTGTGAGTCCCTCCCCTCGTCTCTTTTGGTACTAGTTACAGTTATTACTTCCTGCCACCTCACAACGTCAACTTCGCCTAGGCAGTGATCACCTCTAGCTCACTTAGCCATATCGACACATGACCTTCTAACTTGGAAGGATTTTGCCAAAGCTTCGGATATTGTCAAGGGATGCCCTCGCACTTGCGCTTGAAATCTTCTATAATAACTGATAATAACAGGGTTACACTCCTGATGATTTTTTTCCAACGCGCGGTCTTTTCGAGAACGCGGAACGACCGACTCATTGAAGACTTGCTATTTGAATCTTTGCTTGCCGGTGTATTACCGATCCCGAGCTATCACCAGATGATAGTTACACTTTTTTAGTATGATAGACCCATTAGAGACGATGGCACCTGTGTTCTACATACAGTTTATACGATCCTTCTGCGCCCTGCGATAAAAATACACACATGCAAATTTCAGGTTTAGTTCTTGGTGATCTCCAGGCCTTGTGCAGGCGTTTAGCCTATGCACGACTAATGCTTAGCTTATTTAATCGCTCTTACTGAATTGTTCATTCGCATCGTTGGCCCTTTAAGAAATATGTGGTCGACACACCTTTCGAAATATCGACATATGCCATCATATTTGTTACCAATGATGCCGTCGTGATCAACCTTTGCAATGTTTCGGCTTGCCTATGTATCGATTTAGTTTTTCGGACTCTTCGATTCCTTTGTGCTATGATACCAATAAGCGAGACAAAAATGAAAGAAGTGACATCGATCACGAAGGAAGACGATGTTAATATTGACCAAAAGTATAACATCTGATTCCATATAGTAATTTGCATATATCTGTGCAACCAATGTCCCTTTCCTTATTTAGGATATTTTCATAGATACAATCTTATAACAGCACTTTAAACGAACTGTTTTTTACTGTTACCACGTAAGAAACTCTTACATCTATGTAGCTGATAAGTCTCAAACTTATGTTTTTCGTGTATTGTGTTTAGCTTTCGTTGATATATTCTACTAACAATTAAAATAATAATCTAGAAAAATAAAAAGTCTTAATATTAATCGATAACATAAAATAGTTTCAGAAGAAGGATTTCAAATCGTATTCACAACAAATCAGTTTTAAAATTTTTTTTTTTAATGATTTGCCGACATCGTCAATTAATTTCATGATTGTCTAGATATACATTTTAAATTTTTTCCAAAAATTTCATTTTGTCCAACATTTTGAAAATGGTGAGTCCTGTTTTCAGCAAAACATGCTAATTGCTAATGCTAGCAAAAAGATGAAGTAGCGCTGAGAAACCACTGAATCGCACATTCGACCCCGTGAAGAGCGGCAATCATCACTACCCATGACGGTATAATAAAAGATAGAAAACTTGACACAGAGGAAACTTTACTTTAGCATACATGTAGCGAACGCTACAAATGCGATGGGGTCTGGCGAAACTTCAAGTAAACAGTTTTTACCAATAAAAGCAAACTCTGTAATATTAGAAAAAATGTAAGGGTTATATAACAAATTTCTAACAGTTGAGGGGTTGATAAGGGTATATTTCTTTTGAAAACTGAGTACAACACGTTGGATGCAGGGTCGGACCGAATAATCGTCAACGCCTAGAAGGTTCCTGAGCGACTGCTGATAGTGTCAGAGGACTAGCATGCTTTCACGGGTGACATGTCAGCATATAAGCAACCACGAGAAATCCAAAATAGGATTCGGATCTGACTAAGGATACTGAAGGAATCAGGGCATAAAAATGTATGTATTAGCTGTATTTTTTACCCATTAAAGGAGAAACCCACTAAGCCATTCACCCCTGTGCAAGACAGTGGTTGAATTCGGAACTTCTAAATGCCACCAATTCTATAGGCAAATTTTATGTTACCTTTAAGCGAAGACGCCATGCCTAAAGTGAGCTATTAACTTTAGTAAGACCCACTAATCCAATCCAATACAGGAGTGTTTTGGAAAAGAGTACTATATCTGATTCTCCTAGTCGGTGTTTTCTGTAAGCGTAGCTGTTTTTTAAACTTTTATGATATTTGGGTTATAGAGTACTAAGTACAGGATCGATTGGCAGATGGAACTATATACATAGTTATTACTATCCAAATGCAGAAGGCACTTAGGTCAAATGCAGAGCTAAGAGTGAGGACTTAACATGGAGTCGTGCACCAGAAAAGCATGTTGAACTAAAAAAAAGTGAGCGAATGCCATACACTACACAGATCCTTGATCATGTTAATCGCACACAATTTTTGGTGTATTGGCGCAATATGGCTCTAAATAAACTGGCGCCTTCAAAACTTGAAACGTGGTGTACCACAGTCTATTGAGGAGTATGTTTGGTACTATATGGGATATTTTTTCGCGCAGGGCGATGTCGCTAAGCAGGACGTGGGTGCCGAGCGCACCCACGAGAGGGCATATAACAACACCTAATGTCCATCTTGCTAAGTTGCTATGGTAACCAAAATTATCAAGTAAACTGCCACACTGATTCATATCTCAGTGTCGGTAAAAATTATTAGCAGAAATTAATACTCAGAAAAAATAGAATGTTAGGAAAAGTTAGAAACAATTATTATTGCGTCTAACAGCTGCTCGTACAGCTTTACAAATTGTGGTACCTCGATCGACTGCTCAAATGGCAATGCACAACAAATTGCTCAATCAAAGGTGGCAACTAGCTCACAATCGGCCCATTATCACATACGTAATTTGCAGCTACTTATTAATTGCATCCGCTTTGCGAATCCGACCGGATGATATGCATAGATTTTGTTATCTTTATAATGGTACAAGAAACATGTTTACGGATTGTTGCAGATTAGTGCGTCCGGACGCATTGCCTCGACTAGTCCATCATGAAGTCCAAGTGTAAAACTACCTACTATTAAGCTTAAGAGGTACTCACTCGCTGTTATTGTTGAAAAATTAAGAGTCACTATCCATTAACCGCGATCTTCCTCAAGAGACACCTTCAAAGCTAATTTATCGTATTACCTCGAAATTTGGAGGCACATAAACTGGCGAAGTACCGTCTAAACCTCTTCTAGTATAGTTCACAAAAGCGTACTTGTGACAAACCCCCGAACGACAAGTCGAATACCTAGCACATAGAATCTTGCTGCGCCTCGTTTTACTTTAAGTGTTTTAAAGCCTTACTTTTCAAGTCTTTGCTTTAGACGTGGTCATGGATATTCTCTAACGGGCAATTTTTACTTACATGTAAAAGAATATAAAATATGCACAACTTCTGTTAACTGATTAAGTGCTGGTAGCTCTACATTGAACCAGTGTCATTCTATAAAATGTTAATTTCAACCCCGACATGTACTGCAGCGTTGTTCGGCTGAAATTAGTCATTCCCTAAAAATCCATCCAGTTGTATATCGGGAATAGACAGATCAAACGGCTGGTCTTCAACATCAAGCTAATTATATCTACTTAATGGTCTCGAACAGCTTAGTATGTTCCTAAGTATCGTTGGTGGACGAGTTGTCACTGAACCACCAACCAGATTTATAACCCCTGTGAATTTCTGCCTTTTTCTCCCGATAGAGAAGCCATATTCGCTTAGCATACGACCGATGTAGCCGGTGGCGCGACGTGCGTATAAGGATACCATTACACTACATTATTATCGTTTGCAAAACGCTCTAATCCTCCCATGAAGCACAAACCTGTCGAATACTCCTGGATCCCATCGCGGGTATATAGAGTTTATAATCTTTCTATTTACGTTCTTGATTCTACGATGCTAAATTCTACGAATTTGTTTTAAATGCAAACCTTCAAGGCAAGTCGAACGAAGTGTCATAAATGGTTGTAATCAAAGATGTTTTTACAATGGAGTAGTTCACGATGCTAGAGCGAATTGGATTCTTAGAACCGTTCTACGACAACAATCAGTTATGTCCTTGCTGAGCGTTAACTTTCTTAAGCTTGTTAAACGTTACCGTTAAAGCGCTGTTGGACGACGTGGTGGCCAGAACATGAATGGCGTCATTTTATTGCAAGACAAAAAACCTTTGTGTCCCGTGACATTTGCTTAGCATTGCTTCTTTTGTTGGCTAACTTTAAAAAATAGACTTCCCGATCGTTGCCTTCTTGTGGTACGACGCCCATCAGTTACTTCGTTAGAGGTGATGCGCAAAATCAGATTTACTCAAGTAAAACTACCCAGAAATTGAAAACTGAAGTGCGAACGATGATAAACTTGATCGGTAACCACGTAATCCATTCTGAGATTAAAAATTGTTATATTCGGGTCCTCTAGTACCAGCAAAGCTTGCAAGCTGTTTTACCAACATTGCATTCCATCCAAACTCAAAAGGCTCAGTGCCAAATAAAACGAGACCCAGATTAGTTCACTTTCACAGAATCTGATGTAGATCAAAGGTTTGCTAAGAAAAAACTAATAACTAAAGTAGTAGAAAATATTTTTAATGTGTCCTATCCTAGCACATTGCGGAAACCTTTCGTTAGCGCCTTGTGGGCAGATTTTATTCAACATCTGCGTTAGAAAGGGTACTATCCCAGATATTTGGATACAGTGCACAATGATTGGAGTCATTAGAGAAAACAGAGATATATATATACAAACAACCCAAACTCATGTAGAAGAACCGCGAGAACCTCCTGCATCTACAAATTTTTGTCACACATGCCCGTACGGCGTTCAACTTTTTGTCTGGAGCACTACAACACATTACCTGACGCAAAACATAGATTCCAACCCTGTAGCTCAACACTGATAGTCTGGAAGAATTTTATGGAGGCAATAGAGACGAACCATCCTTGTCAGTCTCTTTATTCAATACTGGTGGATCTAAAAGCAGCATGCGACCCCGCATCGAGGTCCGTCGTACCGACAAAGGTTTGACCTTGTTAAGAAGTTGGCAGCAACTATCTCGGTTTTGAAAAGCATTTTTCCCAAAAACTCAACCACATTGGCCGATGGTGTCACAGAGAGAAACGGTGTAAAGCACACGATCATATTCACTTAAAGGGACGACTAGGGTTCATTGCATTTTTTGCTGTTCATTTGTGACTTCCCCTCACGCTGGCAGGAGCAACATTCCGTTTTAAGTATGGTTGTATATGCTGATGACTTTATAATCTATCGAAGGTTCTACCAACAACAAAAGTTTGCGACTTTTAAAACCTATGTCACAAAAGTCAACCCAAAACTAAGACGAGAACAGAAGCCATGAGGTTCAGAAAGACTTGCACGAAGTAACTCATATCGCTCACATAGTGCTGAATAAAAATTCATTATTTAGTTGACGTACTTAGGTTTGACCACGACTATGAGAGGAAAGCCTGCGGGGATCAAGGCCTTTTGCAACGCCCCTTGACCTGCTGCATTTGAAGATCGCGCGATGACTGACGGGGAGTGGAGATACTCAAATAAAATGCACTGCTATGTTATGACAAGATTTTCAGTTCAACGGCTCCAGGCTCTGATGTGCGGGTCTATATCTTACATAATCTTTACAATTTATTTGAAAAATAAACTTCATTATAAAATGAAGGTTACCAACTCGAATACACCGCAGAAGATTAGTGCGTGCAGTTGTAACATAACCTGAATATGATCTTTCGTAAAACGCTCGAATCGATCCCATGAAACCCCAAAGTTTGATTGCGGGTAGTGCTAATGGAAAGATCTGGAAGTACAAATATATATTTTTCTGACGCAGCTGTAATAGCTTAATGATAACTACCAGTAAATTATTTAGGTAAAAAGTTTAGTTAAGGGAAAATCTACTAACAAAAAGATGTCACCTGAATGTAAATTGCTATGGCACTCACTCAGTACATAATGACTACGTAAAGTTGACTACCAACCTGGCCCACCCTGCAGCGGTCCCGGTTAGACAGCGAGTCAGGGGTGGAGTACCCACCGCGCAGGCCCGCACCCTCGGCCAGTATGAGCTCCAGCTCAGGAGTGGCACCGCCTGTTATGAGAGAGCGGATGAGCGTGAGCGCATTGGCGTTGAAGTACGTAGTCGACATTAGAGAGTCGAGCACACTGACGGCAAACGCTGTACCACAGGCGAATGGTTGTGTCAGATAGAGCTCTGTATCAGGGTCGTCATCGTCGTCCTGATCAAGAAATTGCACGTTGGTGTCGTTCACCAATTCGGTGATCAGCGGTACGTTGGCTCCATACACCGAGCCGCGCCGCTGCATCGCCATCAGCGAGGGACTACCCAGTGGGGAGCTGCCGTGCCCGTGTCCGAGTCCGTGGCCAGCCATGGACATGTGAGTAGCCGCGGACATGTGAGTAGCCATGGACATGCTCGTTAGAGGGTTGTTAGCCGCGGCTAGTGGGTTGGAGGGTGTTATGCCCGCCATGTTAAGACCCAATCCAGCCGCGGCCGGAGTAGACGTTAGACTGGTTACATTAGCTGCTACTGCTGCCGCTGCAGATGGATTACTGGTTGTCGGATGATGACTGGTTGTTAGAAGATGGCTGCTGTTGCTGCTGGTTGAGTTGGCATGGCTGTTGGCATGATGGCTGGTGGAGTTTAGGGCATTGCTGAGGACGCCTATAGTGTCGTCGAAAGTCATGGCTTTAATGTTGAGCGAGGCGAGGATGGCCTCTTTATCGGCCAGCGTGGGATCGTCGCTAGAGGGGATTTTTGCGGACAGGATCACGCACCTAATCAGTAGAAATATAAAAATTTTAAAGGGTCAAGAAGTGTGTCATTTAAAAACGAAGAAACATTACTGCTGTGTGCAGTTATACCGAAGTTTAGCTGGCATGTGTTTACAGTCGTATGACACAAACATCGCAATTATTTCGAAAATGGCGAAGTTTTAAAAAAAGGTGTGATCGGTTCCGGGCGAATATACTAATGCTGATGGCTGGTGTGTCTTGACACAAATATTTCAGTAACTACATTGCATGCATATAGGTGAGCTAGGCACAACTAATAATGCCTATATTGCTTATAAATTAATTATAGCAAAAAAGTTCCCTTAATCTTTTGTGTCAAAAAAATCCCGGAAAATTTATGTTGCTATAGCTCTCATAAGCGGCCTTTTTTTAGTGCATAGATAAAATGCCTGAACTATCAACATAGAATTCTACAGGGGATGCATTTAGTGAGCGGAAATGACAATAGAAGGCTCATGTCTCTGTGTTCCAACAATACTCCAGTAACAATTCAGTGTAAAAAGATGAAAGCAAAGTGCGGTTTGAAAATCTGTGTTTTTTTGTTTGATACATAACTAGGGCATACAATAGGAGGATACATAAATTGAAGGACACGGCTTTCTAAAATAGTTAAGAAACTCACATATACGTATTTTTCTTTCGGCTTTAAGGTCCTTCTTGGTACAACACCAAGAACCCGCAATTTCAATAACAAAATAAGTAGCTCTTAATACGAAATACGTTTGTAAGAAATATTACATAATGGTCTTTGTAGTTTACTTGACGAAAGTAAATATATTTTAATGAGCTGAAAGAAGTGCTTTTTGGTTGTATTGGTACGGTCAGGGCCATATTACATAAAAGTTACAGATATGAAATTTTGTAACCTACATGTCGCAGAGGTTGATGTTGACGGCGCGTAGGTCGGCTCGAGATAAGGGCGACCCATTCAGCACCGAGATCTTAGGAAGGTTCTGCAACATTTTCCACTCCCTGCAAACATACACAATTAACTATTGACAGTTATACCTTTTCACCTTGCTATGCAAAATGTAATTACCAAGTAAAAGGAAAGACTATAGTGCATACCAATAAAAAGAAGAATCGCATACAATGTGGTAATTCTGGCCCACTAACTTATCCAAATATATGTTAGGAAACCGGTCGAAGTTCTCCTATGTGCAATAGAAACTTTGTTGATAGTACTCTAATCAAAGCGTGGTCAAATATACGGTGAGTAATTTAATTTGCCACTGAAAAGCAAAAATGCACAAGCGCGAACCCAGGAGAATATGGTGAAAGAATATCTCAGTCAAGCTTTTGCTGGCAGCTTTGACAATCTTTGCCGTGCGCGGCCTGTCATTGTAATAGAAAAGAATGACTTTGCCTTTTCTTTCGGGCCTGAATAGCCTAGCTTAATCAATGCGATAGGTCATATACAGATCCCTGTAGTCCGACTTGTTCTTCCCAAGCACTTCCAGTCTTACCAGACAGAAATCATGGCAGTTTGGCCTAACTCGGGCATAAGCGTATTTCTCTGAACTATTTCTTTCTCTACTTCATATCGGCATGAAGACATTAGCTGTAACAATTCTGTGTAAAAGTTTGTCATGATGACTGCGTGTTGCCCGGTGCTAGACAATATGTTAGGGGTCAATGAGAACCTGTACCTTCTTGTACATTTCACCCAGTCTATAACGCAGCCAGGCGTCTAATTTCTGATTAAGTTTCATACATCTAGGCGCCAACAATAGTCTGGTGTTCGCAGCTTATCGGCCAACTAACATGTTTGCTGTCGGAAGTGCTCATGAACCTCGGAGGGCTGGCCGAAGTAGGGTGCACCATTCAAGTCTAATAGGCCATTTCCAAACTCAACCAAGCTTTTCGGCCTATCCTTTCGGACACCTTTGATGCATATGGCACAAATACATTAGAGTTGTTCAGAAGCTAGTGAGCTTAACAGATGTAAAATAAAGCAGATGTCGAAAATTTTTTTTTTTCACCACAATTCTTTGTCTTTAAAGCCAAAACTCGACTTAGAATTTCGTTCATTGAGGAATGCACATACCTGCAACATGCTAACAGAACAAAGAGAGCACTTCCCAGTGATACATAGAAATAAACAAAAATTAAGAGGTAAAGAAATATTAAAAAAACGACCTATATTTCTGTACCGAGCTTATACTTTTTTATATATATTCTACGAATGAGCCAATATTCTAAGGCAGGATCTATGAACAATATGGCGTACAGCAAAACACAATAAGCTCAGAAGGCCTACTTTCAAATGATTTTAACCTAGTATAGAGTAAACACAACTTGGTGCGGATCTAGGAGAAATACGTTGGCAATTACGATGACAAATAAGTTTCAACCTATGTTATCAAGAACTTCAAAGATGAACTTTTTTTCGTCTTCAGTGTATGCAGTTAAAACCATGGGTATATCAGCTAATCGTGTCTTTAATTCTTGGAATCAGCTGTTTAAAGGACATCTTTAAATTTGTACGTACCTTCTTAGGTAGTCCACATTCCCCACGATAACCACATGTTTGAGTTCATGATAGTGAAAGTTTGACGCGCGCAGAGGCATCACGAGATTCCTTAGTCCTTATTTGGCGAAGTAAAATAGCAGCGCAATAAGAGAGAAAAAACGGTTATATCTTATTGTGTTATATGCGCAACGATCTTACCTAGTCTACTAAGAAACTTTAACGTTTTGTGCTCCATCAATGTTTTAATAGGATTATTACAGTTCAAAAAAACAGCGTCACCTATGACGAGATGTTGAAGCCTCTGAACTGTGAATTTTTCCCCAGCAAGTATGTATCTAATATGGGGATGTCCAACTTCAAAGTCGGTGATTGCTTTTCAGATCTCTCATATCAAATACACCTTTTTTAAGGTGACGTTAAATGTCAGTTCTCAACGCACGGACGATCCGCCGGGAAACTAAGAGTATTTGCGCCTGCAGTGCACTTCACCGTATGCGGTTCAATGTGATTGCTTTTTAAATTATTTTCTCCCCTGCCTAGAAAAAAAATTGTTCTAAACGTGTTTTTTCAAAAAATTCCAGTACAGCTTTAAATGTATGGAGATCGATTACTAGAGACATCCGTTTTCCTTTAACCCTGATGCTACTCGACATAAAGCTACAAGACGGTCGGGAAGAACACTAGGAATTGGCATTGCCGTGATTATGTTTTTTTTTTTTTCATTATTTTATTCGCTATCGCATCATTTGATCTAAGCATGTCAAGATTTATAAAAGTCATTTCGTTTATACCTATAAGAGGTGAATCGGCGTCGGCGAAAAGACAAACCACGACGTGTCCATTCAGCACGGTCATTGCCGCCTGAAATCCATAATTGACAGACCTCCATTATTATTCCACTTACTTATAATATATGTACAAGTATTCAATGCAAATCTAACCGTAACGGGAATAAGCTAAACGTGATCATTGCATTTTAAATGGACAACTCGCAACCTACGTGACACCAAGATAAGTTTCAAGTACAAAAACAGTTACAAATTTATAGTAAATAAACTACACTGTCATCTACCTTACCAAGTAAATATCTTAAATAATAGTTAGCTATTCCTGAAAGCAGAAGATATTATATCTAATTTAAAGGCTCTATTCGTCATAACTTGTTACTATTCCGTGCAGCGCTCTAAAAATAATTGTTTTTTTTTTAAGTAACATTCTGCTAAGTATTTTTAGAGAGGACACTTATTACACTGAACGCAATTTTCCGCGGTATACCCTAATTTAATTTGCGAAAAACATGCCTGCTTTTGATTATAACTCGGGCAGCAGTTAGCTCTTTCGAACTAATCCCATGCGGAACTTACTTGAATCGTAACAAAGATGCCTTACTATGTACAATTGAAGGGATTAGTCGTACCATGATTTCTTATTGTGTGCAAACTGGAAATTAGTTGCACCCCATACTTTTCTCAGCGCAAACATAGAAACTAGAGTACAATTTGGGATTAGAGTTTTCAGCGTGAATATTATATGGTTGGTTTGTATTTGTGATGTATCCATTTAGGGCTTCTACCCACTTTCTATAACGCACACAAATCTCTCGACTCGAATCGAAGAGTCATCAAGCAGGGTAAGTTCTAAAGGAAACCTACCGTACTCGTAGAATGATAAAATGAAAGGCACCTCTAAAGAAGATCTGCGGTCTGCGTGATAATCACGGTTATAGATCAGAATTCACTACGTATAGTAAGATAATAAACTGGCTTTTTGAAAACGGTATACAGTATTGCCCTTCTCGCGCTGCTGGCAACTCGCGGATGTACCTGAGCTATAGAAAGATCTACTGTAGACAAATCATAGTCAACCGACCTAACTAATGGTATATATATTCTTCATTGTCTGTTCTGTGCACTCAAATCATTCTCTCTGCAAAAACCATATCCGTTGACACTTCGGACAATTCTTTTGCTTTTCTAATTGCAGATTTTTCACAATGCGAGCAGACACGTTGGCCGCTTTACACTTTAAAAGCACGCCGGGCCGCTATCTTCCTGTCCTTGGACATATGCCGGTGCCGGTATGGAAGTGTCTGAGCATCCGTTGTAGACTTTTTTTAAATGCTTACATGTCCACTTGCCTTCCTAGAACGACAAAACATGATTAAGGCTTCGGCCTAGGATCGCGCGATTCGCAATAACACTGCACTCCCTTCGATTTGAAACCCATTGACGAGTACGAACCCTGGGACATCTGCTCGTACGTCGAGTCTATCCATTATCTCGTTCATCCGCGGGTTGCATTTTTCTGAGATTGACCACTTTAAAAGCTTTCCAACCTCAACAATGGGCATCAAAATTAGATTTTTTCCCATGTCACGCTAGTGAATCTGCCTGCTTCTAACGCTGCAATGTTTGATTCGTAAACGATTCTGCATATTACACTGGACACAGGAAGTTTGACCTACTGCGCAAGTTGTCTAGACCTTACCGACGGAGCCGTAAAGTCAGGTGGCGTTCGTACATAGCCGTTACATTTACACGATTCCTTAGTGTCTTGTAGTACTCTATCTACACGGCCCTAGATCGGTGTTAGGGCGTTAATTAAGTGATAAGCGTGACTTACAAGAAGTAATGTCAAACAGACCTGATTCCTGTCGAGTATACAGTCTTCGATCGGTCGCGCAGAACACCAGTGAAACATGCCTGTACTGTCGTACTTCATTTCAGTTTTCTCGAAATCTTTCGCTTGATCGTCTGACAGTCCGACCGGGAAGGGTTTTTCATTGCCGCTCGATGGCGCCCCGCTCGGTGGGCGATTTGTTGGCCTAATGCGGCAATTAACAATTTAATAATTATATATTTCCAATGTTCATAATTATCACCAGTTCAAGCTTACTTATAATGTACTAATGGCCCATAATTGGGTCACATCAAATTATGAGCATGAGTTTGCTTAATTGGAGAACAACTGTCAGCTTGTGTGTTACACTTCATTTTTGAAATTCTTAGTGATTATCCTTTGTCCTGAGACAACCTGTGGGCATTGTTTCTTTCTAGGACTAGTTTTCGATCGCGTGTTAGGTGATGAGTATTTTTGAGTAGATAAAGGGATTATGACATAACATCATAATAGCCCATAACTGTAAGAGTGGTGGTATACTTAGCCTGCCCAAATAGCTTCATGCTTCGTTTGAATAAAACCGAAAACCCATTTTACAGAACAGGGTAAATGTAGGTGTTGCGAAGATCATTAACGCTACGATTGACAGCGTTGTACCGTGGCTTAGTATGTATCCAAATAACGATTTATACTTAACTTATAGCTGTTCTTTCTAGAACATGAATTGTTATTCAGACTCTAGAAACCGACTATGCTACGACATATTATTGGCTTGCTATTGTGGCAATAAAAGCCTTCATCTTCATAAAATTTCTATGTTACGCAAGAGAGAAACCAATTACTTAGTACCCTACTACTAGTACTTAGTAATTACTAGTACTTAATAGTAGTATTACTTAGTAGTATACTCCAATCGATAACTCCTGTAATAATAATAAAACTAGTGGTAGCGAACTGTTTCTATCAAAATGAAACAAAGGTACTGATTGGATATAAGGACGATAGTAGAATGTAAATAATTGATATTTTGGCCAAAAGCAGCCAGTAGATGTTAGACGTTGCCGAATGAATGTAAACCGCACATGAGTTTTTTAACTTCGTAGGCGAGGTGTAGGCCGGCGAACATGTCATTAGGGTTGCGTAGAGCACTGGTATCCGCGCTGCAACCGTATGGAACAGACAGATCATGAAGAAATGAAGAGATAAGAGCCCCACGCGCATCGCAGCACAAAGAACAGGCAGCGACAGATAGAAAGAACGAAAAAGAGAAGAAACAACGGTGCGTCGATGTTAGTGGTGAAGAAAAAAAGCTTGTTGCTTCTAGCAACGGTTAGTTATAGATGCTCTTTTTGTTGCCTGTCGTCAAGGAGCAGTCAGCTCGCTATATCTTACGAAGATGGACGAAACCGAAACTTGCTATCAACAAAGGTTACAGTTATAATTATAAAAAAACCACGAAGTGCAGAAATATCGGGCCAAGAAAAGGCCAATAATGCAATAACCTGACGAGAATTGAGCTTATTTTTTTCTATCGAGCTGACTTTTCCCAAATGTAATGCACCATTAGCAAGAGCATTAATCACATACGCCCTAAATAGTATTATTTAGCACCGCTACTCAGCATATAAGCATGCATGCTGAGCTTGCTGCTTTCATAAATTTTGCGATTGCAAATGTTAGTGTTAAAGTTAGTGACGTAACTAGCTATCAAGGCTACGATAACTTTGCATATTGCAGCACACATGTACATTCATATCGATGACAAGGTTTGAAAAAAAGAGGGACAGGTTGAAGTAATAATCAAATGAATCGAATGAACAAAAATTTACCCTTCGTTTCTCTTTGTTTTTAGCGAATTTGAGATTATATATATATATATATATATATATATATATATATATATATATATATTTTTTTTTTTTTTAACACGAGGAAAATATTTTCAAGTGGACATATGATTTTGTGTAATCGTATTCATCGTAGCGTTTTGCCCCTTAGAACTTGTATCAAGGTGTTTGAAGCGACTGCAGAATACTCCTGTGTCAACCATTGATGAGCCACAAAAGTAAAACGATAAAACGGGTATATAGTTATTTATTTATTATATACTTAATTACCAAAGTCAACTACGAGACCGATCAGTTAATTACGTAAGACTACATTTTGCTTTCCTTCTTAAATACATTCAAATATCAGCCTTATATACCACATAACCTATATTAACCTACACGACCACTCTCTAAGTTATATTTTCTATGGCTTTGTTGCATAATTGTAAGCGTAATGCGCATCTCACAACTAAATTGTGGTGTTTTAAGCTATGCTTAACGCAATGCACTCCAAGAAACATTATGAGAAAATCTGTTAAGCTAGTAGCCTTTTACCATGCGTATAACCTGCATTCTCCAGTGAAATCGTTCGCATTTGGAATGTATAGAAGCTATTGATGAAAACCCTCAAAGGTCTTAATAGCTTTCGTCCAAACAAACCTCAAGCAGACAGCGGAGTTTTCTTTTATATATCTAAGCTTCTAGTTAAGAAAAAAGGTTAAATGCAAAGGGAGGTTTCCAATGGTTGGGAACTGAGTATGTTTATATCGAAGGTGAAAGATAAGTAGAATATAGGAAAGACTGACTTTACATCTGTTTATTTGCTAACCTTTATTAGACTTGCGTACCTTTTTCAACTTTTTTTCCTAACTAATTTCAACGTTTGTTGAACTCACTCTTGTATAGTCCGTGAAATCAAACTAAGATTGATATATCTGAATGAGGACGAAAAGAGTTTATGTATTTACATGTCTCTTCGCTTTGAAAAGCTTCCGTTAAGAGGTAAAATAAATTCATTGTGTGTGATTATTAAAATTCATTTATTTTAGATTAGAATGTTTCTGTATTATTATTTTGAAGTAATACTGTTACCGGTATGCCTAGCTTTTTATATTCATCCTAACCAAAGAGCGCTTATACAGGCTGTTAGCAGAAAAATCTCCAATTTTTTGGCGGGTGAATGCGCTTTCTAAGTTTAAAAGAGCCGCTGTTTGCGAAAAAAGTAATCAGTGTCTTTCAAAAATGATTGCTGAACTATTTTGATTTAGATTGTCACTTATCCTTAAACACACCCCTAAGGCTAAGGTTGGCGGACATTAGCCTGATTTTACTAAACTAGTAACATCCTTATCCATCTGCAAGCTTAGTTTATGTAGGTTAAATGTGATTTTATACTTTCTCAATATCGTGTGCAGCTGAAGCCTATAACGGGACACGTTATGCTTTTGGTGTCTTACGTATTTTTGTCGTTAACAATTACTTCAGACAGTCGGCTCCAAGCACGAAACAGAAGGTATTTACGCCCGGATAGGGTACATTATGTAACAATTTTGGTATAAAAGCATAAAGCGGTCGTAAGGGTGACGTTTAGGATGGGTAAGCTGTTCTGTTTTCCTTTGCAACTTTAATAGCAACTTTAATTGAATAAAACTAAACTGCCTTTTATCGGAACTCATATGATTTTTTGTTCTGACCCGATTGACGTTTTAACGTACTATCATCTAAGGTCAATTTCGTACCGGCAATACAGCATGCGGATGGAACATGAAAATCATTTTCGTTGCGACAAGTTTTACAGGTACTAAATCGGATTTTTATATAGTATTCGCTTCTAAGTCTTGGTCTCAGCGTAAATATGCATCTGAGCTGCTATACACTGTTTGCATGACGGTTTCTCGATATAAAAATGTTCATAAGGGAGTAATTCCAAGGGAAAACTCCTCAAGAGAATCAAGAGAAGATTGTTTCTTCGAGAATGCCGAAGGATAAGTGATGTCTACGATAATAATACTATATGTGACCATTGCTCTAAGTAAACTCTCTCTTGTAAACCGGTCGGATGAAAATGGTCTTATGGTTATAATACTTCTATGGTTAAAGGTATATGAACCTTTTCACCTGTCTTTAGGGATAAGGATTATGCTGGGACATGCTGTGGCTCTATCTCACGGTACTAGGTATTCACGATCTTTGTTTAATCGTCTGGAGTATTGTACTCCGGTCGTTTCTAGTAGTACAAATATTTACGGTGTGTCATGACTGTAGGCCAGAGCACTCAAACTTAAACGTTGCAGGCTTGAAACGTTGAAATATTCAAACAAATGTAAACTATCGATTCCATTAATGGTGTTAGCTTGATTACGACTTTTATACAATTTACCTCATTATTAAAGTGAACCATTTCTACTCAGTTCTCTTCTATACAATATGTTTTTCTTACGATCACATACGAGTGCACTAACGAAATAAGCAACACACGCTTATGGAAGAGTACAAGTCGCTCATAATCATAATTTTTGAGATAAAAGTGTGCATCATTAGGACTGCCTAGTTAGAGAACCTTGTTAGCAATAATTAGTAAAAATAGTATTTACAAAGATAGTTTTTATAGTACGTTTCGATTTTTTTTTATACTACGATACGATTGTACTACGTCTTCGCAAAGAACCATCGAAATTTGAGTGCGCTTCCAATGATACGGGATTTAATTTTTTTGATGCTTATTTATTAAATAAATTAGAAAGTGACGTTTTGTATTTCCTAAAATAAATCTTTAGTCAGCGCTATTTTTTTCCCACAATGATAATGTTTTCCAACTGCATCCCTGTACAGTATCTTCTTGCTGAGGTGTGGCAAAAACCGATTTTTGGAAAATACTTCGGTACGATAATTTACCGAATAGGTAGTAAAAAAAAAAAGTAGTTGCAAAATCGCCTATCACTTAGCAACATCAAGTATATCCATTCTACCATGTTAGATATTTTTCAAAATTACTCTCTTAAAAAATTCGTAGAAAATAGTCTTAGGAAAAAATTCTCGTTAGCCTATATTTCTTTCTATAGGCTCTGTTCGTAAGACTGGAGGTCAAAGCTGACTCATACGGAACACTGAATGTTACTGCACTATGTAGTAGGGCAGCATTCGTATTAATGGCAGAGTCGAGATTTATTTTTGCACATATTTTCACATGTAATTACATTATACAAAACGGCACATACTGTCGAACGAAACTGTAAGAACCCGCTAGCCAGTTAATCAATGGTAGGAATATATATTATGCTAATATTTGTACTAGAATAATTAGCATGGACTCCATTGCAGTAGCGAGCGGCGGACAACGTTGGTATGAATACCAGGCTAAGGAAGTGAAAATAACCTATTTATCATGACTTGGCTAAGAAAATGAATCGATCTTTATGTTTACTGAACACCATAATGATATATGGCATACTAAAATGGTTTACAGTAATTAATGCACTTATTTTTTGTAAAAGCACCGGCTAATAGCATCTTCAAGGTATAAATATATATAGGTGGGTGCTCCTCATATTAGACCGATTAAAACAACATTTTCGTCAATTGAAGCCTATTTTCAATTCACTCATTTTTATTATGTGATTCTTTGGACAGCTTGGAATTTCTGTCGAGGATTTTGATATTTTAGTGAGATAAAACGTAAGTCAGAACTTATTATTTATGTGTCTCACTATTTAACAATGAAATAATAGCGAGAACTAATTAATTCTACGTCAAAAGAGGCGTCAGCTATTGTCGAAATTTCGTAAAAATATTGATATCAATCTTTATGATGTTTTCAAAATTAAGGTTTAAATATGGGCAATAAAACGAAGAGCGTTTTTCAAAAAGAGGCAACTTATTGACGTTTTTATCATTGCTACCTTGTTAAGCAATAGCGTTAGTCAACTGATAACCTGATGGTGAAATTATTTCTAATTTTTACTGAAGGAAAATTCCGTTAAGTATTTGATCATGGGACGTTTAATGGTGAAAGATTCTATGTTTGTATTTATTTTACATATATATGTACGTGCTTAGAACATAGAATCAAACATATGTTATGAAATAACATGCATGAAAGACTTAGAGAAACAGACGTCTTTTCGTACATGTTATTTCAAGTACTATGTTCTTGTATCAAATATTTAATAGTATTAAGTAACATGTGCGCTTGGGTTGTAACAATTGCATTTTATATCATTATCTAATGATAAATCAATTTTAAAATAAAAAAAGTTTAATTTTTCCTTAAATATAATTTAAGTAAATTTTAGATTCTTAATGCTAAATGTACCGATATTATTTGTATAGTT